AATGCCATTTCAGCTCCCTAAGAGGCTTTGGGAGTGTTTTTACAGTGAAGCTTCTGTCCCAGAGTTGCTGAAATCAGCCTGATGCTAGATGGAAAATTAAAACTTCAAAAGATTTTAGAAGTCTCATGGCATCAAGTTGCAAAGGAGCCCAATTTCATTTTCTTAGAAGCGTTTATCTTGTCTATCACTGGTCCTGCTATGGATATCACAGCAATATTTTATCCAAAGTTGCTCTCAGCTTTATTGATAGACAGGATTTCCTTATCAAAGTGACAACATTAATATTTCTCAAGAAATGACCTTGAGGATTCCTAATTAAAGTAGTAAATACATCTTCATTGCCTGCTTCAGCTTATGAAGAATTTGTGACCTGAAGCTTTTTCTCTGAAATCTTTCTCATCTTCTGGTATAATTCAGAAACAGTTTCTCAATCAGCTTTTGGGAAAAAATTTGATCCCAAATTCATTTTCTTTGGATACCCCCAGACTTCACCAGTGGTGCCAATCCAAGGAAAGCCCTTCCCCAAGGTAGTCTGAGGGGGGATGTAATCTTCATGCAAAGCACAGTAACACAAACCCTCTCCTGGGGTTTTGAATCTTTGCAATGGTTCTAGTTTCTTACCAAGTCCCACCCAACTGTCAGTATTCAAGGGTAGCTTGCAGTGACAAGTGGGACAGTCGAAAGAAAAAGTTTTCCCAGTTACATAAGGGGAAGGCAGAACGTGATGTCCATATGACACAAGGCTGCCAAAACACGTAAAAATGCCTTCAGGCTTGTAAAATAAAACCACTGTAGGAATGTTTCATCAACAGAGAAGCCAGTCCAGATATCAGACACAAAGGTAAAAATTTCTTCTGCCCTGAGATTAGTAGTCCAAATACCAATCAGGCAATACAGATCTACAGATCTTGTTATTTATCATTAAGACCAGAGCCTGGCTGATTAACAAGATGGCAGGCACTGTCAATGGCCCTTCACCTCAGAAGCCCTCATTCTCCTCCAGTCTGTACAAGCTCCTCCTAAACACTAAGCTCCTGTATGCCCTCACAGTCGATTCCACACCCTCAAATTTTGGGCACTCATGTTTAATAAAAGTTTCCATTCAGCTGAGCCTTGGACAGGAGGCTTCTGCAGGCTTTGGCCAGAGTCAAATCAAAAGCCTTATTCTAATATCCATTCTGAAACTGATGGCTCTTTTCCAAGATCAAAGTATTTTCTCATACAGAGTCCATGCCTGTCATCTAAATTCAATAAGCACTTTACCTACGTAAGGATTGCATAATAACTTTGTTGTCAGTGTGATAACGTGTTGAAGTTACTGATTTAATGTCCACAGATCAGTCATCACAGCGTTGGCAGTGCCATTGTGTTACGTTTCTGCGTGGTAATTAATTGGCCTTTGTAAAATTTAGCAATTTCCTGAGAAAATTCAGAAATAACACCCTGCTACAGAGAGGAATAAACAAAGGCAGAAGAAAGTCAAGTGCATCACACAAGGTTAGATGCTACCATAATCCAAATCAGAGCTCAGTTATCTGAAATCCTGATCTGTGCCCTGCCCAGTGATCAATTCTGCTCAGGGAAAAAGCAGTCAGTTGGCTGTATGTGTGGGAATCACCAACAGGCGCTCTCCTTGCACTGGAGCCACATCCCATCCTAGTCTCCATACAATGCTGCAGGACCTGCTCCTACCCTATGGCTTTTGTTCAGCATGGAGGGCAAATGTCTTCACCTTTCTTCCAGCACTGCTTGCAGGAAGCAAATCGTAATCTGAATGCAGGGTAAACGCCTACAAGTACTAACAATCTTTAAAACAAGACAAATATTTACCCGTAACACACTGTGGATCACCTTATTTTAAAGCTAAAGCTTGACAATTATTTTAACTGTACACAGTTCATGGCTACTATCAGCAGCTTAAATGGTTTCTGCCCCGAGAGGGAAGGGAATTACGGTATTTTGTCAGTGACACTCTTTGGTATCAACTGCTTGTTCCTCAAAGTACATCACGTTTTTCTTGTGTTAACAGAGCTTATGTTAAACTACATATGTCATTCCATGTAACAACATAAACTAGTCTGTGCACAACAGCATTTCCTTTGACTTTTTCTGATTTCACTGGCTACAAAACATGATCCGTAGTTCAAGCCAAGTGTCAGGCTGCTTAAGTGTGCTCATTAAGTGTGCTCAAGTAGTTGTACCAAAAATGCACAGAATTATTAGTAAAGCTGTATCATTCAGTTTGAAAAAAGTTTTGGACTAAATGACATTTTTGGCTCTATTTTCCTCAGTGCCTTAACGCTAGGAGGCTGGGTACCTCCATGACCACCACACATAGTAGAGCAGTAGTGGACAGATGATCACTAATAAAAGGATAAACTCAGCATTGACTGAAAATATAATCCACTTCTTGAACAGACACCTTGATTGCTACCATAGGATCAGATCTGCACAACTAACTGCCATGTGCACACAACAGCCACATACTTTGTTCACTGACAGAGATCAGCAGCATAAGTGAAACTTGTTCCAGCTGTCTCTGCTCAAAGGTAAAATCCAGACATAACAGCATGGTAGTCACACACACAAATGCTACTTGTTTTAAGATAGCATTCAGTAACTCAAACTTGGGTAAGAAGGACATGTGGAACCATATTTCTTGGGGGAAAGAGCCCCCCCTGCCTCCATGAGTAGCTGAGCACCGTCATCACTGCCCCACCAAGTCAGCCAAAGTCGTACATGTGGGACTGGACCACATCAGCCATGAGTCCTCAGTACCAAAAATAATGTGCAGGAGCTGAGCTGATTGCACTGGTAGTCTCAAGTCTTGATCCTATTCAAAAACTACCTTATTTTACACTTTTTAAAGGCCTCTTGTGGTACTTCAATCATGTCAAGATGGAACTAGTACTTTTCCCTCTCCCCAATAACCTCAGCTACCCTCTCCATTTTTAGGTCATCACAGTGTTTACAATTCATGGTCTGCTCTACATTTAGAAAACCTCAGATCTTGAAGGTCACCATAATAACCCCCACAAGGGCAGAATCTTCTGATGCTTAAATGCATCATCTTTATTCATTTCAAAAAAAGGTACTTCTTTTTTTCCCAAGTTACAGTCTGAAATAAAACAAGGGTAATTTTTTAATCATATTCTTCAGAACATTTCACCTGCCAGGGTTGGCCCTTGATAATCCAGTTCACTACTGCATAATGAATTTATTAGTCTGTTAACTACAGTCCTGACAGACATAACGGCCAATGATTGCTTATAAATCCTTTGCTGCACTGTTTCTTCTAAAGCCTGTGGTTTGTACTATGTTCTCAATAAAAGCATAATACAGCAACGGTATGATGAAATAAAGATCACCTGAGTATTCGTTTTTAGCAGCCTAAGTTAGCTTAACTGTGTAATAATTTATTTGAAAGCTACAGGCATCAAAGGTAAATCCAAGTCACATGCAGGTTTAATAAAAAGAATTTAGATTCAGTAATCTCTTGTCAAGCCCAAGGCTCTTGCCCAAGTACTGCTCAGGTGGAGTTTGCTGGAAGTTTTGCCAGAGCTCTGCAAGTCATTGAAAGAGATGGAATGACGGACACCACGCTGTGAACAACCGCTCCCCACATCCCACAGGGAACAGCCAACTCCTTCAGCAGCAGCAGATACTCCTCGCTCCACTTTGCATGCAGCAATGATGACCCCTAACGGTGCAATATTTCTCCTGAAATTGCTGAGCAGTATGCAGAGAGTTTGATTTTCGATGTGTATTTCTACCTAAAGTAATTACAGCTCCCCCTCACAGATCACCAGCAGAGGAAGCTGCTTAAGGTTTACCTGAACTCTAACAGAGAAGCTGCTGCTTTGACTGCTCAATTCTTTCTGACTTTGGACATGTGAACATTAAAATGCAAATGCATATTCCAGATCTAAGTCCAGGATTTAAAGTCCCCTTTTTTTCCTGAGGCAGATTATCTTACAGAAGCAAATTTCAGTTACACTGCTGTGAATAATCCCTGCAGAAAGTCTTCAGAAAAGAGGACAAGACATTTTTCTCTAGAACCAATCATCTCTATGTGAGCAAGCAAACAGCACACACCAAACAGCTTCTCTGAAGCCTTGTTTCAGCTATCACATAATGCAGCACATTTGATACCCAGTAATCTTTTCATTAGAATAAAATAATGTTATTATTTCCAAAGTTATAAATCATATGTTACTCTAATATTAAGCTGGCATTTTATGTGTACATAGTGTCAAATTCTCATACAATTTTTACATTCTGGAATTATTAAAGTTGGTTGGTTGGTTTGTTTGTTTTTTTAAACCCAAGTACATCTCAAAGTCTTTCACTCCTACTAGGAATAGAAGGTAATTTCAAATTGTGTTACAGATGCCAGGTACAGAAACCAAGTCTCACTTTTCTCCTGGGAGAGATGAGTATCCCTGTCTTCCCCATTTTAGCTTGCCTGACACTTGTATCTGAGCAAGATAAAGAACAAGGTAACTATTACCGAGGCCTGACCTAATTGTGTCAGTTTTTTCCAGGTAGAGATAAACACACAGCTCTTAAAAGAGAAGGGCTGAGAGCCCCTGGCAGCTAATTGATTTGTTTACTTTCTTTTAACAATATTATAACACTGAAGTTGTGCTACATTTCAGTCTACAAAGCACAGAGCCTTCACCTAAACAAACAAAAAAAAACACCTAGAGTTATTTCTAGACTGCTTAAGAAAAAGTAAATTTTAAAATTATCATCTCTTTTTGCATGGTAATAGTAGTCAAAGTCACACAGAGATTAAGTACCTACTATATATGAAGACATGCTTCAAAATTGTGTCTATAATGAGTTGACAATTTCACTTGGACAGCGAGGTATGCAAAATCAGGGGGTTTTTTTCAGTTAGAGTTTAATCACTGATTTTTTCATTACCTTTATGGCAGGTTTGTTTAGGTTTTTTCTCCTTTTTGAAGACCAATAATTACTGCATCACTTTGGCTTACCTTTCTCACATCCGAGCTCTTTGGTTCTGTTGTCCAAGTTATAATTCTAGATACAGCAAGCCTTGTCTCACTGGAGTTTCCAAAGTCTGTTGGATCCATCTGTCTTGCCAAGGACTCAATATATTTCAGGATAGCAACTTTCACCTGAGAAATGAAAAGGGGGTTTGTTGAACTCAGGGGTTGGCAAAGATGGATTTATCCCACAGTAAACAGATACCACTACAGATTGACAAGTCATGTCACACACGGCAAGGCGGGGGTGAGAGGGAAGTATTCCTGTGACGTATCTAGAACATCCCAAAGATGAAGAGCAACTTTCTACCAGGGGTGAGTTTGGTGTAGTTAGAGTCTGGAATGGAATATCAGAACTGGCTTGAAATGGTACATTTGCAAAAGCAGATCAGAACTCCACCAGGCTGTTTCCACCAGCAGCTATTGTTCCAGATGCCAAACCATAGCTTTTGGTCTCAAACCAAGTGCCTGATGCTGGAGTCTGAAAAGATCAAACATTTGGGTGATTGAAAAAATCATTTGGCATCCAATATATTTCTGTCTCTGGAAGATAAACGTATGTGACTTCCAGAATTTATGGTGTTCCTTCCTATAGCTTGAAACAGCAACCTCCTAAAAAAACAGTCTGCACAACAGTGTCCCTCAGGGAAGATTCAATGACAGAAAGCTCTTAGGGTTTTTTTTTTCCAAACCTTACACCTGCTACACCTGATCTGTGCAGCAAGTACTTGTGAAGGTGTGTTTGGGATCCCAGCTTCCCAGATGCTCAGAGTCTGGTCCCTTCTGTCCTGCACAGACAGGTTTTCTTCCCAACAAGATCAGGATGAAGAGGAATTTCATGTCTAAATTTTAAAACGTTCCAGGGTGCTTAAAACCCAACTCTTAGTGACTTGTGATGAGTTATACGGCCCTCTTCTAAAGACACTTACATTTATTAAAATGGAAAATGAGAGTGTTAATCCAAGTTGCCAATATAATTTCTGTATCATGCATGTACTTACAATTAATTACCTTCTCATGAGTTCTATGCTTTATGGTATGCCTGACATGGCAAGGTAAGACAAGCACGTTGATGCTTTAGTGAAACAGCTTTTGATACTGACCTTCAGATTTGGTGTTTGGGTCTGATCTACAATAAACCTCATCAAAATGTTAAATTGCTGATCAAATGGAAAAGAATCCCTGTCCAAAGAAAACAAAGGCAAAAATGTAATGCAAATTAAATTTTTAGGACAAAATTAGCTCAATACATTAAAGTTTACACACCAGATTTCAACACTTACTCTTTTCTTCTTCTTAATTTACCATCAACCAGAGAAACTCCAAGTCTAAGGATTAGATGATTATTAACAGAATACTGGAGAAAAGTTCTAAACCAGTATCTTTATACACTGTTACCCTACCTACTCTCTCTACACTTCTCCAGCTTTTGCCACACCATTCCTTCCTCATTTCAGACTCTGCTTTGTTCCCTTATCTCTAGAAGCAGCCTGGTTTATCTTTCCCTTGGAGTTCATACCCAGCTTTGATTTCTCTCGTCTTTTTTTTTCCTACTCTATCCTATTTTCTCCTAGATTATTACTACTTTTTTTAAAAATTATCCTATTTTCCAGAATGAGCTGAATTTTATTATAACAGTGTCGTGTGCTGGACATCCTTCAAAAAGGACATGGAGCACAGAATTGTGTGAAGATTGCAGTAGCATTCAAGGTCTGATCCTGACATGACTGTTATTTGCTGTATGAACAACACTGAAGATGCTCCAAACTTTGTGGTAAAGCCCCTTTCATATTCTGAATACTGCAAATTTTTTGTACCTGTCAGTCAAAAAAAAATTCATATCTAAATGCACACCCCTCCCAAAACTCCAAAATTAATCAGTTACATACTTTAACATTTATGCTTTAAAGTTATTTATTTAGAAGTGAGACAGGCCTTTTCAATTCAATGCTTGAAATACTGTGACATAACTTTGTTCTCCTCTATTCTGATATTCATAAAGACTGAGCCCTCAAAATTATACAGCACTGCTGGATTTTTAAAATGTTCCTGCCTTCTTGTAATCCTGAAAAAAAAATCCATAACATTTGCCATCTGAGTACTCTACCTGGTGACATCCAGAGCTTTCTGAACTTTTGCCTGCACAGACCCCAACAAATCTGCTCCCATTTTCTTTAGCAACTGGGTCAGGAGAACAAAAAGCCAGTCCTGCAAGTCATCTTTATGAATGATGATGAAATCAACCAGGGTTTCCAGAAACATGCTGAAGACCTATAAACAAAACAAGCGTCACAAAAAGAAATACAGTGCTTTAAATAAAAATAGTCAAAGGGAAGACGATTACAATCTGAGTTTCAGGATGACTTTGTTATAAACAGTTTCATGAATGAATGATTTTAGTAACTACATTGCTCTGAAAAAAAAATAATCAAACAAGACATGTCTAAAATGTGTTGTATTAAAATACCACATGAAACAAATGAAGGAAGGGGGTAGAAAACACTTACTCTCTGTAGTGAATTCCACGGCAAAGCAGGCCATGCAACAAAACAAACCACTCGTTAGCACACATAGTGATCAAGGCTGGTCGTTCAGATGCAGTTTGTCAACAGATAAAAGACACATTCATTGAAAGTTTACATTTTCTTAAAACACAATCTCTTCTCAGTTGAGTTACTTTATATACCTTATATACCTTGGATCAGACCCAGTCTCCTCAGTCATGAAAGTAATGTATGTTTATATACATTTATATGAACAAAGTTTACATGTGTTTTAACACCACAACTAATAAGTTTGTAGCAATAATTCTATAAAAGCACTGCAGGTAACAGATCACTGCTGCCAGAAAGGATGTACTTGAGTCCAGAGTGCAATAAACTCTCACCTTACTCAGAAATTGGAAATATTTTGCAAACAAATAGTTATACCTTCACTCTACACAACACATACCAAACCCTGCCTGCCCAGGTAATTTCCACCTGACCAACACTTATTAAAACTGGTTTACCAAGTGGTCTTGAAGTTCAAATATTTATACAAACTTATTCTTTCTCAAATTGTATTTAACCCAACAGCAGATGTTTTTACCCTGACATTACTGGCTGCCCTCAACAGCAAACCTCCTAAGGAGAGGGTATGAAACTCCCTCTTCCCTGCTCCCACTTACCCGTTAACAGAAGACCACTGGGTCTGAACATGCCTATGGACCCAACTTCCCCATCCTCTAGCCCACTTTTTTTCAAGAAATGTCTGTAAATTCATGTCACGCCCTTTAACTTCAAAGGTCAGTCTTATAAAGAAGGCAAAGCGCTATATTTAAGACTTGAATTGTGAGATTCTGAATAGTATCTTGGGGAGAGCCCATATTGCTCCCAGGTGTATCCAACACACAAATCCCAGTGACTGTGATTCCCATGACCCTTCACAGACCACCAGGAGACTCCCCAAGAAGTGCAGATAGAACCGAACTTCTCGCTCCAGGAGGTGACTGGTTCCTAGCAACATAAGAGAGACTGAGACACATCTCTTCCTTGTAAAACAGATGAAAATCGAGGAGATTTATAAATGCCAGTTTCCCCCAGCAGATGGCAGGGGTAGAAATACAAAACACTCCTCTTGGAACAGTGTCAATGTGCACACATAGTAATGTAAGAGCACGAGCCAAGCCTTTGGGATCTTACCTTGCTGTGAGGGTCAGCAAACATGCGAGTAAATATTTCACATAGCCTTTTTAACTCGACTCGGCTGAAACACATAAGTGAAATATGATATTAATGCTAAAGGTTTAGTTGCAGGAGGGGAAAAAAAAGCTAATAAATATTAACAGCTGAAAGATTTAAATGTTACTTCAATAATGCTTCTGAAAACTCTGTATATCTAGGCAAAGCCTCAACTGGCATTCCAGTTTAATTGCTGGGATCACCAGTTTTACATTAAGAAATCTAATAAACATTTATTTCTTTAAAATCCAAAGTCAGACATTTGGATTTTCTCATGCTTTTATTTTCTTCTGTATTCTGGATTTCAGAAGACAACTTGAAATGTGCACATTTGGGAGGCACTTATTTTCTGCCTGAGTCAAGGTCACTGAATCACTGAATCATCTGTCTTTTTCAGCTAAAGAATAGGTTTCTCAAGTCTCCTTTGTGTCAGAGGTTTCAAATTTCCAAGTAAACTGAGAATTTTAGTGTTGTCTGGTTATATACTAATGAAATATTGTGGTCTAAATTCTCAGTTGCTTCAGTAATATCTGTCTAGAATCACACATTATTAACAGATCAGAACAGACTCCACAGTCTGACAGTAAGCACAAATACAAGGAGACAAATACACAGAAATGGAAGACAAATCAACAAATCATCAGAAGATAATTAATGAAACCAGAGCAACTACTGAAATGCACACTAACTGCTCAGAAAACAGTTACTGAAGGTTTTGGTTACAGGTAACATCTTTCCAGACTGACATTAATTCTACAGTCCACCAACTTCTCTCGTTTTAAAAATAAACCTTGAACAGGCCAGAAGATGCTAGTAGTCTACACCTATTTTATGCTATTTATAAGTAACATTTTTTTTCAAATAAATCTATGCATGAAAGACTGATCAAATTTTAAAAGGGCAAAAACCAAATAGTTTTAAGAATCTAATAGAGAGGAAAAAGTCTTTGTACCAACATCACAGTAAGTTGTCAGGTTAATTCAGGATGAGGTTGCACAGTCTCAAAATGACTGCAACACTCTCCTGACTTCATGCAGATTGCAGCTTGCTGAATGAACCCCTATTTATTAGAGTTAATGAACTTTCCTTCTGGACAAAGGTTATATAAAGTCATCAATATAAACGTGACTGTTTCTAAATGCTCACAGACCCAAGGCAAGAATGCAAGCACTAAACTAAAACAGACAGTGGGAGAATATTTCCTTAAGGAACCCATTGGCCTTGTTTTGTTTAGAAGACCTCATGGGGAGTCCTTAGAAAAGCGGGGCACATGAGGCTGCATGAAACAAAGAGGGTAGGTAAGTGCTGTTCCACTTTGCATGCACATCTCTGGATATGCAAATCCCAGCTAATATAGGATCAGCCATCTTTCAGTTCAGAATACTAAAGAAAACCTAGCCACATCACTGCCTTTTATTAACTTGTCATACCACAATAGAAGATATAAGGTTTAATTAGAAGACAGACTTGCCCCTTGGACTAATGACCTTGATGATGTTCTGCAAGATGCCGTGGGAACAAACAGGATGATAAAATCTAATCATTAGAAAATCAACTCTGAACCAAGGAGGAAGCAGATCAAAAGAAAACCAAAATGAAATACAGAGAACTAAACTCAGTATCAAATTAAAAAATAACTGTGCTGAGCTGTAGTTTCTGGGACAGGTTTAAAAATCATTCAGGATCAAAGCTCAGATGACTTGATAGCTTGAGGGACTTAGTGACAGCAGCACAGCTCAAACACTGCAAACAGCGGGGTTGAAATCAATACTGTAATTCTATGGGCATTTCTCATAAGAGTTATTGATCTGGATAAATAGCCCATCACCAAAACTTGTCAGTAATCCCTTCCTTGCAACTCTCCCCAACAGCACTCCAAACCTTGTTTATAATCCTTACACACCTTCATGGCAAAATCAAAGTCTCATCCAACTTTTTCACACAAGTATATGATGTGCCACAGTTTTTCCAGACAGTTTATTAAAAAAGAAAGGAAAAAGACAGCATATGTGTGGGTAGTATTAAGAGACTCAGAAATAGACCACATCAAAAAGCATCTCTGATCTAGAGACTAACTACCTATTCTAAAAACCTGTAGCATTTCCCATTTAAGGACTGTATCACATCATGTGAAGTGCTAGAATATTTTTATGATGGCAAGAAAACAACTTTTCAAGGCTTGCTCTCAGTACACTTTCATTCAGACTGTTAATGTGAACCATCAAATATTTTCAGCCAGTGTGAAGACCCTTTAAAACGGAAACAATTGCACGAATCCAAGTAAGTAGGCTATAAATCCTGCAACAACCACTTATAAACTTGGCCATAATTTAAGAACATACTACTCATAACAGGAAAATAAAATTGTCACAGCTATTTGTGAATGTTATCTTCAAAGGAGCCAAGAGATAAACAGCTTATTTCAAATACTTTCACCATAAACTAATGATGAAAAGTCTGAGAGCCAGTTGTCTACTTAACATGACCTGTGGCCATCAGGAGTTTCCACATAACTACTGGATAATCAGAAGACTTCTTCTAAAGTGTGACTTTTCAAAGCTGTTTGAAGGGTTTTTCGTGGTTTGCAACAAGGAAAAAAGGTCTGCCTCTCTTACCATAAGAAAAGTTTCAGAGCTGGTACACCTACTTCATTGCCCTAAGAATCTTCACTCTACATTATACACTTAAATTTACAGGACACAAGTTTCTGATATAAGATTTTTCAAGAGTTATAAACAAGATCTGTAATTACAGCCTTCATAAAGAGTCAAAGTATATCCAGCGTCAGCACCGTCTGATCTCAGCTCTGAAACACACACACCCTGACTCATTTTAGAGTAAGTGCAGTGTTTGCTTCGCCAACTAAATTGCTGTGGAAAAAAATACTGAAGGTTCAAACAGACTAAGGTAAAAATGGTACCCCCCTTCGAGTATGTTTACAAGACCATCACTGTGGGAAACCTCACTGTGCTGCTCCGTGCACCTACCACTGGAGGTCTTCATGAGACAAAGGAAGGCCAAGAGAAGACAGCTTACCTGAGCCTCTTCTAAATTACTGCCACAATTTAACACAATTATACTGATAACATAGCAGGAATTTTTCCCACCATTAACAGAATTCCCACATTGTGGAGACAAAGCCTTCACAGCCATAAAAGATACTACCTGTCTTCATGCAGCAGGTACATATTACTGACTTCTGACTATAGCCATCCCTCACGAATTACTGGCACATAAAACTGTGAAGGTCACCTCAGTGTCCGCTGGCTTTTCAGTAAATTCTGAAGACCTATGAGCCCTTCCTTCCTTTCAGACCAGTTGGAGCTGGCACAGTGGTTGAGGACCTCAGCCACATCTTCCGTCTGCCGCAGGTAGTGTGGAATGCCCCCATTCCTGGAGCCATAGGAGCGCTCCGAGCAAGCGCTTGATGCGTCGCTGTTGGCATCGTCATCGGAGTACATCCCATAGGGTTCATATCTTCTTCTCACTGGCTTTTTCTGGAAAAGGGGAAACTCAGACTTACCAGGTTATACATAGTTACATCAATGCCAAAAGAAAAACATTCTATTTGTAATCACTAAGAGGAAGATTAATGCTGCTGTTACAGTGACATACATGTTTTAAAGACGTCACCATGCACTGCTTGCTTATCTCTCACAGTAGAGCAAGACAGATCCCACTGATTTCAACAAGACTATTCGAGTGACTAAGGGGAGTAGGGCCTGCCTTCCCCAGCAGGAAAGCAAGATATTTATGCCCAGTGGAATTAGTTACTGGTAATGAAATTAGATGTTGTTTTATTGGTAATAATGGTCAGTTCCATTGTTACAGATGCTATGATGACACAACCTCTACTTCAAAAGAAAAAAAAAAAAGAAGATAAGGAAGAAAGAGCTGAAAGAATCTGTGCTGGCATGCACAGTCACTTTGATATTGATAATGAACTGACTCTAGAAATACACTGGATATAGGAGATGGCAATTTCTCTGTTAGTTTGGGCTAGGATTTTTCCAGAGGCTGCCAAGGGAGTTGAGTACTCAAATCCCACTCATTTCCATAGCACAGCATTAGAAGACCTAATTCCCTTAGGTACATCTTTGACAACCTTGAAACTTCCAGAAGGAATATTAGAATAATTATGGCAGCAAAACAAACTCTGAAAGGAACCTTAACAGAAAAGGGTTGATAAGACAATGTATCAAAAAAGATCATCTATATCCTAAAGTGTTTGCTACAGAATTCCTTCCAGTGTCCAGTCCTGCAGTTCTTAGACTTGTGAAGCCAGCAGAGTTTTGCTTCCACTGGGACTGGAGGATTGAAGCATAAAAATTAACTCAAGTGCAGTATCATGGACATTAGCAACAGGGTGGGGAGAGTTGGAAAGTAGAAATAAAAAGTCAAGAAAGCACTAGTACCTTGCTCCTGGAGTCTCCTAACAGCTGTAGGCAGGAAAATATTGAAGGGCGGGAAAAAGCATAGAGAATTATGTCAGAAGCTTATGTAGGGTTTGTTTATGCAACAAAAACGTATAGCAAATGTGTCTTAGCAAATTAAAAAAAAAAATACAGTTTACGCAAAATAAAAGTGGGTATAATAATGCCTGACTATCTCCTAACTGTTGCACTACTTGTATTGCTTACAATTTCCATCCATAAGGGAGCTTGGAAGTGAGATTATCTGTTTTTTAGGAACAGATCTACATACAGCACCTCTTTGCTTACTTTTCAGAAACTCTGCATTGAAAGATACCAGAGTTTCTGGTGATGATTTCTTTTCCCCACATATTATTAGTAGCATTTCGTTTTAGGGTCTTACGTAGAAATTCTGATGTGAGAAAGCCACTATCTACAGTACAGCACATTTTATCAACTTCACTTGCCAAGTTCTCTTTCAACCTACAGTTCTTACGCCACACTTTTTTGAAGATTAGCTTCTTTTAAGACCCCCTGGCTGGCACCCCTGGTTTAAAGGCCTTACTTAACAGCAAAGTTTCCATCACCCTTTGAGGTCTTCTGACAGATCCAAGCACTGATTCCCAGTATAGACACTGTGGGTTTAGGCCAAGTCCAGCTCAAACAGAAGCAGTGGATCCAATGGGATTCGTACAGAGGGAGTAGAGGTCACAAAATGACCCCCTGTGTTTTGTTTAAATGGAGAATTTGGCTGAAGCCATCTTTGGAGAAGTTCTTTTTATCTCCTACTACTTGTAAAAGAAAATTCCTCTGAAAACAAGGCTACTGGGTAAAAGCTGGCACCACATTACCCTCTCAAATGGAGCCTGCACAGGGCTTGTAAACTGCCTGTTGTGAGAAGACAACCAAGAAACAGAGCAAATTGGGGTGGTGGAAAAGAAAGGGACAGTAACATTGCAATGCATCCCCTAAAAGTTATACAAATTCAGATTGCTCAAAAAAGTCAGCAGCACTACCTGGTTTCCAACTCAGCTTAAGTATTTCCCTTTTAAAGTGTTTAACCCTTCAAGATTTTAACACTGCAGTAATGTTATTTAATTTATAAGACGAAATATTTCAAAGAGAACTCTCTAAGTCTAGTTGAAGATTAAGTCACACCCAAAAAAATCTCAGTGCTCAGCAGTCAATTGAAACACTGTGACTCTCCTCCCTCATGAAACCTGTATTCAGCAGCTGCTCACATACAAGGATAAAGCCTGATTCTGTTTACACAGGCAAAACACTGCCTGTAATTATGTACTCTGAACTGCTCTGGTGGCAAATTTGAAGTGCTGAGAGCAGAACTGGTTCACATGTTGTTTGTTGTATTTGGTAATGAAAACCCTCACAAATGATTCATCCCACTAAATGCAACAGTGCCATCCACTATATACTGTCTTACCTTTCTATTATTCAGAAATACTTTTTTTTTTTGAAAGGTAAATTTTGTAAAAAGGGACATTTTTCTAGGAGTACTCTAATAGGTGACATGAGTTGGGTGATAATCAGATACAAAAAGGAAAATGTTAGCCAACCTTAGGGAAAGTGAACTAGGAAATGGAGAAAGGCCATCCATCACAAACACTGGAGATGGTTCATCCTCCTTAAAGAGAATCTGAGACAGATTCTGAGATATCTGTCTCAAGACACATCAGGAAATCTTTCCCTCAGTTCAGATCTAGAGCTCTAGAAGACCCACTGGTACCCAGCTAATGCTACACAGTAATTTCTCCTATCACTACACATCCTCTCTCCCCCGAATATTTGAGGTAAATCCAAAGGTTTAACACTCGCCTTCTGAGGAGCAGAACACATTTTTTGGGTTCTAGCCAAGAGCTACCATAGTAGAGCAAGATTATACAGGACAATGAAATTTTTAAGCATGACAATAAATTTACTGGTAAAAGCAGTGAATGTTTGAAAGTACTGGCAGCAAACTAGACCAATACAACTTAACTGCATGAGATGGTACCAATTCCACACAAGCCAGGTTATGAGCCAACTGAGAATCTATCCAGGTGCATATAAACATAGGGCAGGAACTTGTGAAATACTCAGTTCTTGCTGAAACCTGATCAGGAATCAACTCTAGCAGAGGACACTGTTTTTCTGACAAAGTCTCCATGCAGGTAATGGGACTGATGGAAATCTCCAACCCCATGAGTGACGAGCACCCTCACGGTGCTGTGAACATCCTCTGACAGTCTTTCCCTTGAAAGACAAACAGCTGATCCAACCCATCCTGCAGCTCTAGCACCAAGCCACAGTCTGTCTGATGACAACTGCGGAAAACTAACATGGAATAGGGAAAAACATACTGCTGCCAATATACCCGAAGACAAAACAGCAAAAGGTAACTAACTCTACAGCATCAGACACTGGCACAATCAGAACAAAGCTATTTAGAAAGAGAAGAACATACGTACAGGTAACTTTAAGCCACTTTCCGGAGTTGGAAGCATTTTGTATTTTTCCTCTTACCAGTGCATCGGCCACAGCAGCCTCCAGATCTGTGCTGGTGCTCAGGACTCGCATGGCATTCACAGAAGCAGGCATCCTGCCTGGCTGTCCGAGTCCAAACCGGTCTGCACAAAAGACAACATTGAAAAGGATTGTTAAATGAACTCACATTCATTTGGAATCCTAATCAGGTGCCCAACTAGCTCTCCCCACAGGCTCTGGGAACTCACAGTGCTTTTCCATTAAACACCCTTTTACCCAGAGCTCCAGAGAGTTTGTCACTAGGGTAAGAAATAAACTGTTGTTTGTTGGGTGTTAGAGATAATTTTGGATCCTCAGGGCAAGTTTGTATTTATTTATTTTAAACTGGGAAGCAGGGTATCTATTTTGTGTTTCTTTTTACACAGCTGTTTCAAAGTTTTATTTTAATGTCAGAGGCAGACATGCCCATCCCAATCTGGCACTCTCAGAAATCAAGAGAAAGCTTCTCATTAACTTCAGAGAGACAGAACATGTTAACACCCAAGCTCTCATCCATCCTGCAGCCTTTTCTCAGGCAAGGATTTGAGACTAGTATTTATGCCTATTTTATGTCTCAAGGCTTGATTAACCAGTACAAAATCCCCCTATGCCCTCACAGTATAAAAATAAAGTTTATTATTTACTTGTGAAGTGACTCCAGTTTTTGGTTGAGTACTGTTCTTAAGAAGCAGTTTAAATGCCAAAGCTCAATATCAAAACTGATCTTTTGAGCATACAGGATCATCTTTTTCCCTTTGAATTTGATGGCAAAACTCTCAAAGGCATCCAAAGCAACAGGGATTGAGTCTAAAATGCCATTCACACTCCTAACGTTAATTAGTTTACTTTATAATTCGCTGAATCTACCAAGAAAGTTATTGAAATTAGTTTCTTTAGCAAAGTCCAAATTCAAAAAGGAAGGCTAGCAGGGATGTGACAGAATCACAGGCCAGGCTCTGGCAGCCTAGTCCTTCTAGGTGGGGGCAGATCAGACACCAGATTACTGGGATCCTGGCTTTGGTCCATAAGCAGGAACATTGTTTTGACATTCCAAGTTTTTGTTTCCATATGGGCTTGTTTTTGCTCACGAAGGACTTAGAATATCCCTCCAGGGACACAGGTTACACACCTCTCCCCTGCACCCACACATGCCAATAAGAGATTTGACAGCAAATTCAGAATCAACCTGCATGAGCCCATTCAATGGAGCTTCAGCTGATCCACACTGGAGGCAGCCATCAGGCAGCATGAGAGAGGGATCAAGTCACACAGGTCTTTTAATACTTCATCTATATTTAATTTAACAATGGAAAAATACTGCTCATCAAATTTCCCAGCTATATCATGGATTTACAAAAAACTGAGGTCAAATGTGGTATTCAGCAGCTTAATGTATTTTTTGGGAAAATACTGCGCTTATCACAAAACTTCATTCCTTTCTTCTTTAAGAACCTACTGCACTGAAATACCTTTTAAGGAATTAACTCACACTGACATGTATAATTTAAATCAGAGACTGAAGTTTGCCAGTCTACTGTCCTAATTCCAAAGCTTTATTTGAAGGTATCAGAGATTAAGCTACTGAAAGGAAATAGGGAAAAATTTTATAACCAAAGTATCTGGAGAAGTAAAAAAACCTCTGCAGACTAGTGTTTACTTCAAACAGAAGCGTTACCAACCAAAATTTACTGTTTCTTAGAGTAATGTACCCAGACAAGACATTTCTGATTTACAACAAAAGCACATTTTCTACAAAACACATTACAAGGGAAAAAAATAAACAAACTTCTTAGAACTACTGCCAAAAAGTAATCAAATCATGACATTTCACAAAGAAATAAAAGTTGTATGTGTTATTACTATCCCCTTTTTTAATGCATTTGGGTTGAAGAATCACTTCAGATATTTAGGTGAAATAGTGCTTTATCCCTAAAATAGAAAGATCTGTGCACTCTTAACAGAAGCACAGAGGAGATAACATGTTAGGTCTGATTGAAACTGAAGTCACAACTACAGAGATATACACAACAAAGATGTATAGAAGACAAGGATTTTCCTAAGTGCTAATAATATCTGGTACAACACAAGGTCTGTAAATGTTGAGACAAGTCCTGAACTCAGTTTTATATTTAAACACAACTCAATGACGTTGCTCAAGTGTTACTGAGATCAGAATTTGGCTTTAAATTTTGAAATTACACAGCATCAAAAATACCACTGTCATTTGTTTTCACATAAATTTAGTATTACATTAGAAAAGGGTAGATAGTTGTTTTGGTTTTTTTATTAAATGAAGAACAAAATGACAAAGTAATTCAATTGTAGATCAGTTTAAATACCCAGCATAAAAAATAAAATTGAGCTTTTCTAACACATTAAGTGCAGTGTGGCATGCTGGCTTCTATCTATCTCCATGGCTATCAGGAATTTTCTGAACTAATTTTTTCAGTGATCTTTAAATTCGCAACACCCAAGTTACTCTGGGCTTCTCCCCAAGACACTGTTGCCATATCTGAGTGGAGAAGTAGGACCTTAGGAGAGACCTCAGCATATCTCTAACATGGGGCTGGGAATACATCTGGCTCCAGGAATAACCAGTACAGACAAGCCCAATGTTACTGAGCAAGAAATAAGCAGAATATGCTCTGGCCACTTTCCCTTGTCTCCCTGGTTGGATTCATTATACTTGGTGAAAATTTGCAACCACCATTTTTGACCCTTTTTTACCATTTTTCAGAAGATTTTGGCCTTCTGTAGGACACAGGTAACCATATAAAATTTGATTATTCTTTGTATCAGAACACCAGAGCCAAGCATGAAGTGACTATCACAGGAAGTTGAATGCAAACAAAGCTTAAATCTGTATTACAATCAAGCTATTTTAAATATTCTAAATTACTTTGGTTAAATACAAATTCAAATTGTTATTTGAAAAATGCCAGTCAAATCAGCTTGCATCGTGGCTGTTGAGTAACCTGATAATGGAAATGTTTTGAGTTTTAATTAAGTGACAGCCATTTAACTAGACTCATGAGAAACAGAGTATTTTTCACTCCCTATCTGAAGGGGTATAATTAAATCACTTTCAGTATCACAAGTTCCTTATGCAATTTTAGCCTCCAAGAAAACACTGAAGGCCTCATCTTCTACATCACCTTTGTCCCCACAATTAAGTCTCTATTGTCCCAAAGCTAGCAGCGTTTGTTCAACTCTTTTAAGACTCCCAGTGAAATATTCTGATTTCAAAGGGAGTTACAGGTTCTCCATAAGAACCCAGCACAGAGGTGAGGAAGAAGCAACTGCAGATTTTTCTCATTATATGTGAGCATCAGTTGCCTGATGCAAAGCCCAGTGAAATTAAGGGAATAATTTCAACAACTTCCATGTACTTTGGACAAGGCCTTCAGAATTATAGGAAGGGCAGATCAGCTTCAAAGTGGATTTTGAAAGCTCATCAGGTGCTTAATTTTTGCTGCTCTTGTGTATTTTGGAGAGGATCCCAAAGAACTTTCATTAACAGAGACAGTAGTCCAGAATATTTAGTAATAAATGGGATGAAACCCATCGGGATCCAGTTCTAGACCCATGCTGCACAACTGAGCCAATTTACAGGAGAATAGGGTAAGCCCTGGATCACCCTTTGTTTAAACACTGTTCACAATGTTCCTAAAATACATAAAATTAAAAACATCCAATAAATGAAATTCAAAACAAAAAGCCACGTTGAACAAAACCAGAACAGAAAGCCCCGCAGCGGTGAGAAGCACATGCCGAGTGCTGGCTGATGCACACGATGGCAAATGTTAAGATGGTGTAAAACAAGACTACGTATAAGAAGCGGATTCATGCAGTTAGCGCTTGTTCACCTGACTGCCCAACAGAATCAGCAGTGGAGAGAGCACTAGTGGACCTGGAATGACGTCGAGAAGCTGCAAGTAGAAGGAATGGCAACACCCACAGGATTAACACACATTTAACCCGAGACAGAAAATGCCACAATCCAAAGGGGATGCGTGTGACCGCTACCGGTAAAGGTGTTTCATAGTGACAGGGAAATGAGGCTGTATATGAATGCATAACAGATACAGTGCAAGCCCCACAGCAACGCCTCCGTCTGTAGCTTCTCCCCCTTCCCCTCGTGACCATAAACACGATGCATGACAACTCATCTGTGACAGTCCCAAACTGGGCGCAGCTCAGCAAAATCACCCCAATGCACATCGGTCACGTTCCAGACCCACGGGCCTGGAAGACGGTCATCAACGAGAACGTGGAGCACATAACCACAGAGAAGGATTTAGATGTGTCTGATCTAAACCCAGAGTGAAGCCGTGATGAATGGTTACGAATTGTGCTTGCAGGTACTTTTCCACAACATTCTAGCCTATATGCATAAAGAAACGTTAACGAAGAGAATGCATAACCACATAAGTAGAAAGAGTCATACAGGGAGGTCACCAACCACTGTGTATCGGTCCCCGGGTTGGGTTTCTTTTCCAAGAAAACACATGTACACACATATTGCAGGTGTGGCTACTGCCAAGGGTGTCTTGCTTTTAACAAATTGTGTATACATGTTTCTTGAACCTCAGTATGAACATGCACAGATAACCAGAATATGCACATCACAAACCTATCTGGAATTACACATGTATACGAATTGTTAATAGCAACGGAGCACACGCAGTAGCAGAGGAGCCTAAACCAAATATAGCTCCCACTTCAATTCCCAGTTGTTAGCAGCACATCAGCCACAAAACGCCTTTGGAGAGGTTTTCATTTCTTGGATTCAGCAAACAAGTGAGTTCTTTATGAAAGCAAATGAAAAACTGGCCCAGTCATTTCCAAATTATATAAATTCAGTTTTTCTAAAGAAGTTTTCCCTATGTCTAGCAATGACATGCTCACCAGCTCAAAGCAACTGACCCAAGAAACTGACTGTTCATTTGAGCAATTCATCACCACAGACTCTCTGAAGGCCTTGTTGCTTTAACATCGTAACTAGTACTGTCAAGAAACTGAAAAAGTAAACCAAAATCACCTTCTAATACAAACAGGTTTTGTCAATTATGCATGCATGTGTGCAGAAGAAAAACTCCTAAGTCTTCTTTCTAAGGCAAGAAATTAATAAACACAAATACTAATATTATGAAGTAGAAATCAGCAAAATGAGAAAAATAAAATTTTGGGGTTTTTTCAACTACGAGAGCTTCAATAAAAACTACACAGAATATGCAATGTGGTCTTTGACTATGAAGAACACATGCATTTATTCAAGAGAACAATCCCACTGACATCATAAGTAAACTCATGAAAGATTTGTAGGATGAGTGAAGGATTATGGACTGAACCTCACAATTAAGGTTCTTAGCTCACAATTACTTTCTCCCAAATCATTCACTGTGCCCCTGTGGATGCCACTGCAAGATTAGTTCTCATGGAGACACAAGAATAACAAAAAAAAAATAAAGAACCCCACATCTCTGCAAACAGGCTGAGCATAGACTGACTCTCAACTGGTATTTACTAACATAGGAGGCAAGACTCTTGATGCACAGATGTGCAGATCTGCACAGCAGTCCAAAAACAAGAGCAAATTGAAAGGTCAGGATGTAGGTTCTGACACTGACCATAATACCTCTTAAATGCAAGAATCCTGTCTACACATATAGCTACTTTGAGTGTAATTCACGAATATACAAGTTAATCTTTATGAGCAAAACCAGACCATGCACAGTAGGATTATATTATCTTTGCATTATTGCAAGATTAACTGGGTTCTAAAAATACTGTAATAGAACCATATTGTTTTGGTTTAAACTGACATATATAAATTTCTCTGAAATTAAATACACACTACACAATTAACAAGTTCATGAACAAGTTCAAGCTCAAAGCACTTCAATTAAAACACAAGGAAAAGGCAATAGGATAACAACTACATTGGGTTACTCTTGTTACAAATATTCCCTCCCCATGTAACCTTTAACAATGTATTTCTAGAAATGCATTAATCTTCAGGTAATTAAAGACCATGAGTTAAAATGAGATGACCCTCTCCCCACAATAAAAGTTGTAACAAACTGTAACACACATATGTAACTAAAATTTTATAGTCAGTGTAGGAGTCAGACTCAGAACTGGTGAAGGCATACAAAGCTCACACCAACCCTGATTCTGGTACACTGCACTTATTTTTCAGAACAAGGGCTCAAGACAATATTTCAACTACCATATTTTCAATAAAATAAACAAAGCACAGCACAGTGACATAGAACACTGATGAGTTAACCCTGAAATCCAGCCTGCTTATACATTTTGGTTGGAGGAAAAAAAGGCTCATTCAAAATTGAAGCTAGGCAAGTTAATAAAAATGAGTTGCAGTTGTGTATTTACTGTCTTTTTATAGTTCTAGTATCAAATCAGCTTCATTCAATCAGAAAAAGTTCATCCATTTATCTTAAAGAGTTATGAACCAAGTTATGAATGCAAAGTTGAACTCTTCCCATTTTTCACCAAAAACTGAGATATTAGAGATAAAGCAAATGATTATTTTATAGCTCAATATAATGAAGTCTTTGAACCCAAAAGCCTCTCCAATATTAACTTGTGCTATGTTCCACTTGCACACTGTATCACATATCTTCATTTTGTCACTATGAGCAAAATAGATCCTGTAACACCATTCTTCATTAAATTACTACATAAACAAAGAGGGCCTGGAGATCAACCATATTTCATGTCTGAGATGACAGGTCTTTGATACAAGTAATGTATTTGGTTGAATATATGACATGGTATTTGATCAGAAACATTAACTATCTTGCTGTATTCAGCATTGTGTAGAAAAACTTCTGCATGTGGTAACTGTAATGAGATTCTCTATTTGTACTGTACACTTAAGCTGCAGTTCAATGATGCTCCTTTAAAACCTCAGTCTTTGCACGATTTTAAGCTGCTTGATAAAGTTTCCAACTAAAACAGCATCTGCCACTAAACTGATGATTAACAATGTTCTTTAAAACCTCTACAAAAAGAGAGTTGCTATCTCCAATGGAGGATTTAATATAGAAATTATATACTGTAACTGTATCTAGCTGTAAGAAAGTCAGATTGTGAACAATTAGAGTCACTCAACAACAGACTACAATGCTACCAACTACTCCACTGCGACCTAGAAGTTCCAGGTTTGCCCTCCCATAGATTTCCATCAGTGTTGTAAAGTGAAGCACAGCAGCCCCGTACAAGCTGATTTTATGAAACTAAAAATTGCAAAAGTTCAAACTAAACTATTTTTCTGCTAACAGTGAAACACTGAGAACCAGAATTGAAGCATGCAGAAGAAAACAGAGGGGAAAAAAACAGGGTCGGAAAGGGGGAGTATCAGGAATCCAGAGGACAGGAAAGAGCTCATTCCACCTAGCAGTGTCTTGGGGCAATCACAACAAGGGAAAAAGGCAAAAAAATATTGACCCTTAAAGCTCCAATGCCTACATGTACTCACCAAGTGGAGGAAAGCCCCGAGCAGGGCTTGTATCTCGACTGCTCTCACGGCTGGTATCACGACTGCACCCCTGACTCATGCTGGGTCGGGGGATACGACTGCTCCGTGCTAGCATGCAGCATGGAGAGTTTCAGAGAAGGTGAACAAGTTTAATGAGGACAGAAAGCTCAAAGTCAAGTCACATTTCTGTTAGTTACGGTAATTATTACATTAGTAATTACAATCTGCAGCAGCCTGCTCAGGTTCTTAACAAACCAACTACCTTACATGCTGAGCGGTGTTTGTGATGTGAAATTTGAGCAGCATTAATGTCTGGTTGACAGTCTGTTTTTGTCTTAAGCAATCCAAGTTTTGTTATTCAAGTAGAGCAGTAATCTTCAATCATTTAGGGGAGCTCTACTGTTGCAAAACAGATGAGGCTGAAAAAAACCCTTCTGGAATATTTCTTCCTTAATTATAAGATAAACACCCTTCTGGAACAAAATAGCAGATGAAAATTTTTGTAGGTAATCATGATACCTATATGCTATTTCTACATAGATTTGCCTTTCACAAGAATAGTTTTGCCATGAACAAATGTCCTAAGGAAAAAAAAGGTGTACTGTACAGACTTGCAGAGATATCTTTCTCTAATGAAAGGTACTGGGAAAAAGCATTTAGAACCTGAATACCTGAAAGACAGGTTAAAAAGTGATTTGAATTTGAAGAGAGCAGCAGAGCTTCAGATATTTAACAGAAGCTAACTTCTGCTCCTCAAGCATTTCTAAAAGCAATTTATATATACAGTTTAATATGCACACAGATTGAGATGTATGCACACTGAAGGGGAGCTTTAAACTACTCTTTACTTTCACAAAACCCTACATGTTTGCAGATGTTTGAAATCCTACATGTTTGGAAGATGTTTGCAGAAAGTTATTTAGTAAGCTTTATACCCGATAACGAACAAAATATTTTCTTAGGGAAAAGAACAGCAGTTAATTGTCAGGAGTTTACCTTGAAGAATTTAATGACAAGAGAGATTTCCTTTGCTGTTTTGAAAAGGCAGTAGTAGTATATTTTAAGTGTTTAGGAAAAGCCATTAAAGAATTTTCTCATGCACAAAGTAAAACCTAATCTGCCAGCTTTGATGACAACATAGCAGAGGTACATATGCATAATATGAACACGCTAATAATTTGACAGTATCTCTCTTTTTATTTAAAAAAGCCATTTGCATGCTTCAGAATATATATATATATATTCTTATAAATATTGGTTTTTATAGAGAACTTATATGCCTAGACTCAAGCTAATAAAGTTCCTCTACAGTTTTTCTGTGGGCTCATATACACTGGGTGTGTTAGTATCCTTCAAGCAAAACAGTACAGAACAAAATAGAAACCTTCAGATTTGGGTTTTTAAATTCAAATAGAAACTTTGCCAGATTCTTGGTTTGTGAAATCCCTTCCAGTTTTGCAGAACCCAGTTCATATCTCTCAGCTGAATTAATGGTTCTGATGGTTGACCTTTGATGTCAGACAATACAAGATGAGCTATTAAACAAGATGATTAGACCACCATAATGTCTAATGGTTTTGAGTGAGTTAAGTGGTCTTATAATAAATAAGAGAGACTAAATTATAAGAACTGGATGAAATTATGGTCCATGAGTACAATAATCTCACCTCACATGTACAAGGAAAAAAGTTGACAGGTGAACTACAGGTAAAAGTAACACACCAGAGTCTTCCACACAAATACTTGCTTGAAATTGCAGACTCTCTAGAAGCAAACTTCTCATTCTTGGGTCTCATGCTTAGATGTAAATAATGGCAGCCTTCACATCAGGTTTGCACAAGCAGTCATTTCTCTTAAGCAGAGAAGATCTGCCAGTTTTTTATATTTTTCTACCCTACTAAAAACAGTAAAGGCTCTTAAGAGAGGGAGAGATGTGAATGATTAAAAAAATTAATGGATATGCACAATATATTCTCCTTCCATAACAGCTAACAGCAGCAGCATGAAGTATGAAGAAACTACACTGTAACTGCATGAGAACAGACTAGTAGGACAGTACTACAGATGAAGTACAATGCTGACTGCACAAACAGAGCACCCAAAACCAAACACTGCTTACTTCATGAGTAATGGTCAAACAAAAGGGTTGCATGTTACTGGATACAAACACAGAAGAAAGGAAAAAAAGAATGGATCAAAAAGAACTGAAAGATGAGCCTGTTGTGGACTCCCAGGCACCTGCCTCACGTTTTTAATACTGTGCTGCGTAGACAAGGTTGTGTATCAACTGCTCAGAGTATTTGCTTTAGACACTGCCAGCAGTAAGGGCCAGCAGTGTTGTAATTTAGAGAAGTCTCTCATACTGTGACAGCCTGTCCCTGCACTGCAGGCAGCAAAGGCAGAGACAACAGACAAAAGTCTCAATTTGAGAATTCTCAACCCCCAAAAGTTGGACAGAAATCAAGTAAATGAGTAGCAAAACGGATTAAAAGGAGTAAGCAGAATGAAAGCAGACAGTGTGCCCACAGCCAGCTCTGCTGGGAGAGTCTAGGACAGGACAAGGATGGGTTGTTTTTACTAATATCCCAACTTTCTAATGTGTACTGTACATCTAAGTTTTACCAACTTCATCTGGAAAGTCACAGCACTTAGACATGGCTCACATCATTATTAAAGCACTTACACCAGTGGAACACAACAGATGTAAATATCACCAGCAGAACATGATAGTGCCCCTGTTTACCTATCTACCACTTGGAAGAAACTTGTATTTCATTGGGGTGTGAATTTTAATGATTCTGGAGACTAAAAATCAGCAGAGGCTTTCTTTACATCAATACCAGTAGCTTAAAGAGTATGAAATGCTGCCAAAACTGCCAAAGGAAAGCTCTGCAGTGGGGTACACCCTGTAGAGGAAAGTGAAGAACTGCCTTCAGCTTTCCAATAAACACTCATGGCAGAACCTGTATGAAACTGATAGGCAGTTGTGCCTGCTCCACTTATTGGAAAATGACAAACTCGAATCTCTCACTCCTTTCAGATCCAGCTGTGCCACACGATCTGCTGAGCATCCAACAGAATTAACTTCAGGTAGATAACTTTCAATCCATGGGAAATGGACATCACCTTTTTGAGGAGATGATCTCCTTCAAGGGACCCAAAGAAAAGCTCAAGATTAAGTGGACTATACTCCTCCTTCCCCAACTATCACCACTAATAAAACTCACTGAGGAAACAGCAAAGGCAAGCTCAAAACTGAAGTGTCATAAGCAGGGCTATACAGGTGACCATGCAGGACCTCGGCACACCAAATGTGCCTCTCTGAAAACAATTTCTTCAAGGTTTCCAGCACACAGAAGGAACATTTTTCATGTATACCTGTGGTCATCATGGAAATCTAAGCTAGAAGCAAGATACTGATGTTAACAGGCATCCACATGCAGAGGCTCTATTAGTTTGCTACTGCCCCAGGAGGGTCTGAAAAACTTCAGTGGATGGTTCCTGTATTGAAAACCAAGGTGAGTGGGAGTCTATTTAATGAAATGAACAAACAAAATAAAATATCAAGGAAATATAGAGACTGAAGTAACATAATAAGAAAGCATAAAATACTGTTAGCTACTATGTTATGAAGTAATAAATACAATGGAATAATGATATATAGCAGACAGCTCAGAAGCTCTGAATTTCTGCAACTGAGCAGAAAAGGCAACACAAGTGCCAGACACTCCTGTTCCCCTAACAGTCCAAAAAGAACAGGTTGTGGCCATCAACCCTGGGAGGGCAGGTGTAAGCCACACACTTGATACAAGTCAGAGCTCTCTCCCACTCTCAAAGAACAAGCACTGTCGGTTCTCCGGGAGCACACCAGAGAAATGAGACACAAATTACTTTCAAACGAATTCAAGGCTCCGTAATGTACCTGAAAGCAGGCAACCCAAGAGTGAGGATTTTACACAAGGCAATTTCCCTTCAGATGCTCGAGACTGTCTGAAATCAAACCACATAACGTGATGATCAGCTCAAGCATGGGTGATGGTACTATCCATTATTCTTTGCTTCCTCCTAAAAAACAATGCCCTCCTACAGAATGGCAGAACAATTATCTCCAGTATTTGGGAGGCACTTTACATTTTAAAAGCAGTGAGCAGAAAAGCACAATGACTTCATACAGAGGCCATAAAATAGATCAGACATGAGAAGAACATAGAATTTGGAAAAGCAATCACAATGAACATGAAGTATTTTTTATGAATCATAATGGCATATGCACTCAGGTGCTTTAAAATGATTTCAGTATACTGGAAGAATGAATAAGATACTTCTCTATTAACAATCTACTCTAAATAAAAAGGTAGTCTAAATGTAAAATACATTTGCTAAGACAACAGTTATAAATTTAATTACCAACAGTAAGGATATAATTTCAATCAATTTCAACCCAATAGTAAAGTCTTTGGAGATAAAAGTATCATTTAAAGTGTTCTTCTTCTACATTAGCTTCAAATTTATAAAACAATTTCTATTAAAAAATGAAAATGTTGAGACAGCACACACTGAATACCTTTTCACCTCAATTCGCATACACAGAAGTTTTATATATGATGTTTACTCACCTGACTTAAAAAAAATGAATCTGCTGATAAAATTTGAAAATAGAAACTATTACAGAACATTTACATAACAGTTACTGACACAAGAATATTGAAAGTAGAACAATTAAAGTAGAAGTCTAAAACGTCGCCTAAGAATGTGGCTCCAAGATATTAAGGATGAAAGAAGTAAACCATTTAAGCTGCAAAATTTCTAAAATAATCCAAGAAGGTGTTTTTTGCCCTTTGATTCCAACTGACTGTAAAGACTGCTCAACTCATTTTAGGACTGAGACGTTGATACCAAATGAGGTCTTTTTGCTGTGACGGTTAATCATGACAACTGTTTTTGCTGTCTGATCTAATAACATCACTCGTGTTGAATTTCAAACAGAAGACACATCATGACATCTTTAGCCTTACTTTGAAAGTATAGCTCAACCTGGAAAATTAAAATTACTCTCCAATAAACCACAATCACGTTAACTCGTCAGCTGAAAAATTCAGAATAACAGCAACACAAACAGTTTCCTAGTCAACAGGAAAGCCCCTCCTTCGAGCATGCTGGTCAGCATGTCACTGCAGTGACTGTTCTTACCTAGTCCTATTCTGTTGGGACTTGTCTCTCGACTGCATCCCTGGCTCCGAGGGATCTTGCTGCGCTTCTCTGAAGATGATGGCACTGGCTGGACTCTGGATGTTCCACCGCTCAGGCCACCATAGGAGCTTCCTAAGAGCTTACCCGGAGAACTGGACCGGCTGCCAGCTAGAAGAGAACCAGAAATAAGGGAGGAACAATTAAAACCCCCCAAGATTTTAAGCACACTGACAGCAAAACTGGAACACAATCAGCTCTCTATAAAAATTTGATCCAAATCACTCAACAAACTAATGGGAGTGTTCCCTATGGGCTTGCAAGGAAGACCGAGGAAAGCCCATGGACAATAAACATGGACATCAGTAACCCTGCCTCTATGAACCGTGCTTCCCACTGGGGATCAAGCCCAGACACTGCTGCATTTGAACACCCCAGTTGGCTTTATGAGAGCTTGTGGAGGTGCTGGAACAGCCCTGCTGCAGCAATATGAAATTCACATTCTCCTCCTCACAAAGCAACACCAAGGAGCCTGTGTGGAGAGCTGTGCTGCAGCTGCCGGCTCCTGGCACAGGTCACCTGCTGCAAAGCAGCTCAGGCATCCTCATGCTACGCTACAGTGGTGGCATTACTTTCCTACAGTAATTCAGTGAAGGAAAATAAATGAAAAAACAAAACCCAACCAACATAAAAACCCCACCACATCTGAAGAGATCAGCACAATAAAGGGTAAACCATGTGAGCCTGTCACATTTGTAGAGATGTTGTCTTACTCAGGTCTGGTTGGTTAAACCTAAGCTATTTATTTTTCCGATGAAGAAAACTTTTAGCAAGTCGAATAGTTGGCCTGTTTTATTTTTTTCTTCTCTGTTTGAATAGTCCATGGCAAGTTTACATTTCTTCTAAGCCTTGTTGTCTGCAAGAGAGTCTACTAACCAAGATTAATTTACATATTTACATTCCAACTGCAGTAGATACCTCTATCTGAAACAGTTTTGCTCTCTAATTCAATGAGATGACTGATACTTCCTTTTTTTTCCCTGTGGTCTTCATTTGCTAAGTTGTTTGAAAATTAAGTAATGTTAGCTTAAAGGTAACCATAAAGAAGTAATACCTTAAGAGTAATAGATTCAAGACTTTTTTTTTTTTTTTTTTGCTTCTTCACGTATATAAAGTCCCTGAAAATCTGCTGTTGCCATTACCATTCCTGACATTCAATTTATTTCCTAAAACAGCCAGGAAAAGTACACTTGAAAAGGTTGCAAGAACATACTCAGGCAAGCTCGCATTTTGAATTGATTCTCATGTTGGTTTCTTTCTGAAAAGTATCTACACATCTCACAAAAATTTCATTTCCAGACACTATTAGTACTAGCAAGAGTTAAAGACTGTTCTTCTGTCTTAATTTAAGAAGATATGCAATTCTTCTTGTCTCATGGACAATGCCATAACACATGTATTACACACTTACTTGTCCCCTCCAATTTCTCAGTCAAAGCCATTCTGAATCAACTAAATATACTCCAATACTGTATGTGGTGCTGGCTCCATTCTCCCTACCCCAAAGTGACAGATGCCAGTCTTACACAGAGCACCACAACCTAAAACCAAGGCTCTTCTTCTCAGTTACGCTGCTGAGATCTCACTGATGTCAGCAGGGTTGCACTGAAGTAACTGGAAGCAGAATTTAGCACCTGGGGTTTAAGCTGCAGCAGTGAGCCAGCTTCAACGTGCAGAACATATGCTTACCATGTTTGATTACTGGGAGAAAGCAAAGTCACCCACCATACACATTTTGACTTATGACTTTAAGAAAACGTTTTTTAAATCTCACGGCTAGGAGAGAATGAGGGATGCTAAAAGCTGAGCAGTTAAAATATGTGAAGGAAATAACATGAGAAAGCAAGAAAGGGAAAACGTTTCTTACCACCAGCAGGATTAGCTGATCTGGATCCTTGATTATGAGGGCAGACCAAGGGACAGGCAAAAAGTGGATTAAAAGACAGCAAGACAATACAGCGTTCAGCATGCGGTTTATGCTATACACAATACAGACAGATTTATTTACAAACATATCACTCCTAAAGCCTCTGCAGAATGCAGTGAGTTAATGTGCAGATGCAACTAAATTTCCCAAGGCTGATCAGCTACTCAGTAAAATGCCAACCAAGACACCGAGCCCCAAGTTCTGCTCTAAATTATATGCCAGCCCAGTCTGCAAAATTGCAGACTGGCTACCCACTGTGTGGGCATGGAGAATTTGGTCCTGTGACTGTATTATATTTGAATTCAAGTATTTCAAACAACTTGGTTTAGGGATAAAGAACACATCTGATTGGGCTAGGTTGGAAACAGGATTCAGCAAACTAGACCAAAGCAGCAGGTTCAGATATGACCATCCTAAATTTTCATAAGGCATTCTATAAAAAAGAAAAAAGTCTATAATATTTGAAACCTTTGGATATTTAACTATTCTTAAAATATTTCTGAGACTTGTCTCGTGTGGTCTGACCACTTTTCATCAAACTAAGTTTAGGAAAAAAGGGTAATTTCTGGCTTTACATCAGTTTTAGGATCAAAATTGAAGAAATCAATCTAGATCAGCATACCTAAGCCCAAATATATCTCCAAGACCTCAATGTAAAGATTTTCATTTGGCCCCATCCTCAACATACTACTGCTTTCTTCAGCTCTCCCAGCCTAACACAAGGCTACAAACTGCTTCTTCACCCCTCCAGCATGACAGAGCAAAGCAATGAGAGAATGAACAGAGAAGGGCTTTTAAATAGGGGCACAAAGCAAGACATGTCCTCAGAACAGACAGATCCTTCCACAAACCCCATCTCCTTTTACCCACAAGGCTGAAGGTCCTCAAAACAGGGACTAGCTTTCTCCCTACCCCCAACTCCTTTTAAAGTCTGAGTGACAAAATTCTCCTTAGATGCACATGACAAATATGCAGCAGCACCATATGTGTGGCTCCTAGGGGAAAACCATGCCTTGCCAAGAAGCCAGAGAGCGCAGATGTGTCACGTGAATCAAAGCAGAACCCTTTTCCCCATATCTACACAAAATAGGTAATGTCCTGTTTTAAACTGATGCCAAATCCCATTAATTTTAGACAGCTCACGTGTCACACATACAGAAATAGAATCACATAAGCAGGAGAAGCTTGGCAGGGCAAGACCCCAGGACAGCAGTCAGCTACAGCCACAGGGGGTGTCTCAGCAGGACTCAGAGCCAGTTATTTAGTTCTACAGATGACAGCGACATGAGATTCTGCTGCACAACTGGTAAAAAAAGGCAGCAACTCAGCACTCAGATTTGGGGCTCTCTCTGTCAGCAGGAGTACACACTGGCTACATGGGGATTCATTTTATTACATGTCCAAACATTATTATCAGAAGTGAGCCCAATTCTCAGTTGATGTTACTGTAATTCAAGAGAAATATATTAATAACTATTTGTTCTGCTCCCCCAGGAATAAAACAATTCTTACGCTGGGACTGGGAAACTACTTTAGCCCGGCTGCGGCCTCGAGTATCGGCAGGCGTTGAGGTGACACTTGTGGCACTGCCAGAGCTCTGTCTCCTCGTACGGATCCGACCTGGAGGAATGCAAAGACAATCACACTGTTAATAAAAGGCAGTAGTAGTGTCTAACACACTACACACACAATTACCCAGGGTATACAAAAGAATTTTACAGGGAGAGGCAACACCTTTTATTGGGCTGGCTGAGACGCAGGGGAGGGAGTGGAAACAGCCACAGTCCATGAGTCCAAAAACTTCTCTGCTCTCTGTAATGTTATCAGCCAGTTTAATTAAAAAATATTACCTCTCTATAGCCTTTGTTTCTGTTCTATAGTAGCTTCTTTATAAAGGATCAACAACAAAAAATTTCAGCCTCCTCAATGCAGATTCCTATACCAAATTATTACTTTCTGAGAAGGTGATCACATTTTCAGAGACAGGTGTGACAGATGCCCTCCCAAATTCCACCACTGGGATTTCCAACTAGCTGTTTGGTGCTTTATATCCTGCTCCCCCTAGGCAGGCTGGCATGCACTCCCATGACAGTCTGTCAATGCAGTCTGACCACGCTTTTATTTCAGGCTCATTGAATTTTCCCTGTTTACAGATCCCTCATATTTATCCAGAGATCAGTGTAACTTTACTTGTAATGGAGAGTTCCATTTAACACAATCAATGCAGTGGAAAAATGATTCTGTGTGCCTTCTCTTTATTTAAGCAGAGAAAGGGTATAAAGTGTTCTTGGTTCTTTTTCGGTCCCTTCCTCATGAAAAAGCCACAGACATTTGAGCTAGGAAAGCTTACAGGGTCATCAGTTCATCCCCATCCTGGGACAGGGTTGTTTCCTACAGAATATTCTTTCCAGTGCTAAGCTTCAATTATCTGTCTCTAGTTAATGGGAAAGAAATGATAATTAAGAGTAATACAAAGAAAGCCTCCATCAGTACTTTTCAACACATCCGTTCCCAGCCAAATCTGAAGTTGTTTCTCAGGACTCATGCCAGTGCTATCCTGCATTCAGAGGATGACTTCAAGTTTCAGGCACAAAAATAAAAGAGAAAAAACCCATAGCAGGTAAGAGAAGAGTCTAGACAACTGCACCCACTGGTTATAGATATTCATCTCCTGCCCTCTGTCTCTACCATAAGCATACAGAGAAATATGAACAGGGAGACACACACTTCCCACCCAAAACCCCACTTCACATAAGGTACACATGCAGGACAAGACAATGGCAAGCAGCCCAGGCTGAACAACTGGGAGCTACGTTCTTCTGTGAGCTCTCATAATATTCATAACATGGTCTGCAAGTTTCTGCCAGACACGAAGAGACAAGGAGATGCTTAACTTTGAGAAGAAAGGCTAAACTTGTCTGCGAGGGGAAAAGCCCACAAAACAGCTCTACTTCAAACCTCTCCACCAGCACCTAGTCTTAAAACAGCTCAGTAGGTAAAATACAGGCATGTACATTCAAACCACTGCTTATAAATGAGACACAGAAGAAATCATTAGCATAAAACTGGGAAAACACACAAACAAAACTTTTTAATCACTGGCTCAACTAAACAAGCTCTGAGCACATCCACGTGGGTCCAGCAGTCACCAAACTGGCTGCTGAGGTCTTACCATCAGCAAGGCTGCAGAGTTCTCCTCTGCTCTAGGACAGTCAGCCTGATACACAGCCAGAGGCAGCCCTAGAGCTTTCAGCTGTCTTACTCCCATCCCATGCAAGTTTGGCACAGGCACAGCTACACACAGATGAGCAGAGCCACCCTGTGACTCATTAACAAGGCGTGGACCCCAAGCCCCACCATGGGCTTGGGGGAAGAATTGCTTAAGGAAGGAGGCAGACAGATGTCACACTCTTGTCAGAAGCCTCAAGGCTTCTTCTCATTTCTCTCATCAAGAGGGCATTGTAGTAAGACAAGAACTTAAACCTGACCAGACTTAGGAACCTGACCAGACTTAGGAACAGTAATGGAATTCAATTCCATCCTTCCAGAATGCCAACAGGAGGCCTTGGCACTGCAGGAAGTCCTGGGGGGTAACTCAAGCTGAAATTCACCTTTACCCACAGTAGCAGACATTATGGAAGACATGTTTAGTGACGTGTATGGGCCAAGAAAGGGTGAGAAGGTGCTGATGTCTCCTCTTATGCACAGACCACTTAAGATCCTCAAAATTTTCTGGATTTTACTGCATCTACAAAAAAAATTATTTTTTTTTTGGTCTCCATCAGTAGGTGACTAAGAAGGAGAAAACTGGGACAGTATGTATTCCATCTTAGGAAATACAAAGCCTAAAAAAAAAAAAAAAATCTATAAAGAGAAACTAAGTTTAGCTTCTGATAACAATTCTAGAGGCTTTAAAAAAGAAAACTGAACTGAAGGGTCAAAATTAATTAACATGTGATTATCAGCAGGATTAGAAACAGAGAACTCAACTCCTGTTCTGAAACCCCTGAGAGTTAGTGGACAGATTCCTACCAACTTCAGCAGTTTCTGAATGAATGAATACCCAGGAACAAAATTCTGTTTTTGGAATGGTAGATTTGCACACCAATTTTGGTCTAATGGGTGTCAGAGAGAACAATATGAGAGGAGTTGCTCTCCCACAGGAGGAACGGAGTGCCAACACTGATACTGGTTTCCTCACCCTTTCAAACACTGCACTGGACTTGTATGGTGCAAACAGATTTTTAAATATATTATACCAAGTACAGCATGTATACATAGTAGTTGCACTGTACAATTCAAATGTGTCTGCTACATTTCCCTAAGAATTTAATGTGCAAACAAGAGTCTGCATTCACACCCAAGAGTTATTTGCACAAAGAACTATGTGTGTCGCTTTATCACTCTAACCCAGACAGAAAAACTAACTTCAAGCAGGACTGGAAAAAACATATCAAGTAAGTTATTTAGACTTCGCTATTGTTGTTAAACTCAAGCAAACATCTCCCCTCCCAAAACTTCTTTGCTTTCAAGTGGGTTTGTCTCCATATCTAGCTCAAACTGCAGATGTAGCAATCCATATTTCATAATCATTATTTTTCTGCTGCTTTTAAAAGCATTACTGCATCCTGACAACAGCAGTACAGCAAAGGAACAGATAAGGACTGTCCCAACTACTTTCCAAAAACCATAAAAGTATTTCCATAAAAGAGTCCTTGATCTAAATTTGATACGTGACACATTGGTTGGTACAGAAGAATTTTGAAAGACTCCATGTAAATGCTTTGTGTTAAGAAACCATTTGTGGATTTTTTAGGAGGTTTTGGTGTTATTTATTAAAGTTACTGTCATTTTTACAACAGTGGTTCAGAATCAACCCTGAAGTCTCTAACAAATGTTGAAACCCAGGAAGGTTGTTTTGTGTATTTTTTAAAAAGAAAAAGTGAAGGAAGATTCTGTGATAACATTTGTGCTTTACAAGAGGCTTCACCTGGCAGCATTGCTCTGAGCTCTTCTGGGTGGATACTGCACCATCCCCATTCCCCAGTGCTCAGAACAGACATGGGCTTTGTGACACTCAGCCTGTGCATTACTCTGAAGAAAATGGCTTTCAAATAGTCTAGAAATGGTATGTAACAGCTCCACAACTCATTTTAATCAATCCCATGCTGTGAATAGTGATACCTACAACCACTCAAGTTACATATGGAAGCACTGGGATGATGATGGTCTCTCCATGGATCAGGTTAAAGCATTTAATATCCCCTATGTATCACTGTTAAATGACACATGGACCTCTGAGACACAGATCAATTAAAAACATGCTTTACATATAAATCTGTAAACAACTTTCTACAACCACCATTGGAATGGTTACCGTGCATATTCAGCACTTGTCCAACATTACACTAGAGTAAGACCTGACTCTGCACCATAATTTTCCCCAAAAACGACCTGACCCTTACTGGAAACCATCAGGTTATGTCATCTCTGGGTTTTGCACAAGAACCCTCTTCCAAAGCAGAGGGCTCAGTGAACCATAGTTGCTCCACTCTGCCCTACACAAATTAGCACAGGTAAATCAACTCAGCTCTGGCAAAGGGATGGAGTAAGACAAGTAAGAAACCTGAGCAGTACCACGGTCAGTCAGCACTTCGAATGAAGCCTTGCTCTTGAGGACAAGGGAGAACTTCAAGGCAGAGAAGAAACCAGGAATGGTGATTTCTTTAAACTTGTGTTACTCCCAAAGCCTTTAATAACGCACTCAAGGTGTCCAACTGAGCCTCAGTTATCTGAAAACTATAATGAAACACATTTTATTGCCTTTGTGGTGAATAATAAAAACTACTGAAAAATGTGCCACTGACTCTGGAAACGCTGATTTTGTTTTAAACTTGCAAGTTTCAGGTCAAACCAGCATTTATGCTTCTCCCTTTTGGGAAAGGGTTGACTTTATGCTCACTTTGAAAAAAGGCAGCCAGATAACAGAAACACTCTGAACCATTATTCTCTACTGAAAGTCAGCACTGTGCACCTTTTTAAAATATTCCTTGAAAAATTCACTTCATGATTAAACCTGCAGAAACTTTTCAAAGGTTTCCTTTTAATCAAGTATAACAAACATGGCACAAGCCCTACCTCCCCAGCACTAGCTGTGAAGTACCAATCAAGCCTATAAAAACTTCATTTCTTTTGAGGTTTCTGTGTGCAAAGCCCTTAATGAAGTTCAGAGAATTCCCATACATGACGGGTCTGGACAACCAAGGCATAACAGTGCCCTGCATGAAGACCTGCACAGATTTCACTGGCATACAGACTCACAGCACCTTTCCATAAGGAAGCGCATTTCAGCAACATTTGCCAATTGGGATGCCACGACTTAAAACCAAAGGATTGACACTCAACTCAACTTGTATTCTTGCCACTGGCACAACCTACTCTATCTTGCTCCTGTTTTGAGCTGCCTGGCTCCTAACCAAACCACTGAGGAGAACCGAGGGCAAAGCAGATGAGAACTGCCAAGTCCACACAATGCTGGCTCCAGCTGAGGGGAAGGTGCAGAACTTTTACACTGTAGCTACAGAAAGCCAAGATGGGAACCAGACAGCAGATTCAATGTCAAGCTGAACCACACAAAAAACACGGGGATTTTCTCTTAAATGACTTAGTGGTGACCTGCAAAAAACCCCAAACAAACCAGAGGAGCATGAGTGTAGATGGCATTTCTGCTTTCCTCCTGTATTTCCAGAGCAAGGGCATGTTTTTCTCTTCCCTCACCCTCTTAATTTTTACATTTATGTCAAGAATATAAAATTTTGCCTTCCCTGTAGTTCTTGACAAACTCTGTAAGATCAGAGAGTTGGAAGAAGATCTTTCTCAGTCTTCATCATTCAGTGCAGGACACACTAAATCCTGAATAAAGGTTGTTTTCCCCTGAGCCATCTCAAAGGAAAACAAAGATGAAGAGTCTCAAACAGTGATTTACTCCTTCAAGTACTCTGGTTATTAGTGTATTGTGTTGTTATTATTCTCCCTGATCCTTGCTGTCCAAAAAATATAGAATCTTATAGCAATAAGGTAAGAGATTTGGTATTTAACACTTAAGAGAATGACAAACTACATTTTTGAAAGTTCATCTCAATCTTCCTTGCCTCAAGCAACTTGCTGGTTTCTATTACAGATTTTTACCAAATCCAATCTGCTTCTAATGTAATTGAATTGAAAACAATAACCAAATAAAAAACCCACCCTTTTGCATTATGACAATAAAGTATTCAATAAGCTAAAAATAAAGGTATTCCACAGGACAGCTCTTGTAAGTTGCTTTCACAAATATTATTACAGCTAAAGAGAGGATTAAGAACTGGATAGGGTGTTTCATAACTTAACATCAAACCTTAAACAATTCAAAGCCAGGCCAAAAATAGAAAGGTTTGAGAACTGGGATGAAAGGAAGAAGATAAAAGGGTCAACAATTAACAAAACCAAAAAGCTCAGTATTACAACAACTTGGAATTTTCATCCAATTCATGACTGATTTAGAAACACAGGTGTTTAGGCCAACTTCATATTCCTTATCATTGACAGATCACAAAGCACAAACACTTGCCCGAGATGCAGAGCCAGTTCATCTCTCAACACTAAGTAACCATATCCAAAAATGGTACAGACCTTCCTCTCTAATACATCAATTCATCAATAGTAGCAAGGAAAATAACACGTGCCACAACAGTACAGTGGCACTTCTCAGACCACCACATCCAAATACAAGCAGCCATCAAGGATACCAGTAATAGATCCCTCGAAAAGAGACTCACATTGGGAGAAAAAGGGTTTGTTGGGGGGGAATACTTCTTCATTCTGTATAGAAAACATTCTTGTTTTCAAGTCCTGTCTACCTCAGAAAAAGTGATTTCCCAGTGATCTTTTTTTGCTTGAGAAATAAGAAATAAAGAACAAGTTTTGACAATGAGCCAGAGGAACAGACTGGGATCTTTCCCAAACTAGCAGGCTCAGTGTTCTGGTAAAAAAGCGCCTTTCCTCCAACTATCTTCAGTGTAAGCCTCTCACTCAGACAGTTTGCAACAAAAAGAGAGCTCAGGTTTAAAGAGGTTGACTAAATATTCCCTCCCTAGAGATCATTGTTTACTGTCCTCTTTTTCTGCCATGTGATCATCTCATTCAATTCTCTCACTGCCCAGCCTCTTCCCGAAAGCATTTGGCAGTTGTGACCTGAGCTTTGGATGGAAAAACACAGCAAACCTTTACAACATCAAGGAGCAAGAAATCACAAGCCTTGTGTTGGGGTTTTTTTTTTTTTGTTGGGTTTTTTATTTTTGTTTTTTTCAGTCTGAGCACAGGTCACCTTCAACCAAAAGCAGTGCTTTAAAAACAGAAACCCACATACAACTCTGTGACCAGAAGTCAAGTCATAAAAGCAGACTAGTGCTTATCAGCAGGGAAGAGCTCAAAGAGAAAGTGAAGAATACCCCATGGCATCAAAATGAGCAGGACAACCATGCAACACTTCATGCAGGTCACCAGTGAACATGGATGAGAACCAGATAACACTTTGAGAACAGAGACCAGGCAGGGCAGTACGACTGTGGACACACCTCAGTTACACAGAGACTGCTTACCCTCAGGTTTACTGGTAGTACCATCTTTAAGCAAATTAAAGAAAAATAAGGAAAGGGTTAATAGGGAAAAATCAGTAACATCAACAGAAGTGGGCACTATATATTAGCTCCATAAATATGCAAAAAAATTAATACAATTAAAGATATGAAAAAAGTTTGACTGTGCAGCAAATTGAACCTGGACATATCTGAAGAAAACACTTGCAGGTTTTCCCTCCTGCAATAACCAACCTTTGCCAAACTCCATTTTCGTTGCTTGCCTCATCATTTCTCTCATGAGAACGTGAAGGTGATAAACGCCCCTAGAGGTTCAAAAGGAAGCAGGGTCCTTCAGGAGCAGCCATGCTTGCATCACTTAGAGTGAATTTGCTGCTTTTCTCCCACAGCCTAGTTTAAGAAAAAGACTAATTGTATTCAGTCTCTCAGCTTCAAGGACCAAGTCAGCTTTAAGTAGATATGTCCACCCTCTTCCATTCTTCCTTGTGACATAAGACTGTTTGAAGGCAGTTTAGCCACTGAAGCCCGTGTGCAGCACGACTCAAAAACGGTTGCTTGTGCAAGCCCAAAAGCACAGGATCTACTTCACCTTCTGTACTGTTTCCACTGTGATGTATCTACATCTTGAACCAAGTATGAACAGTTTCAATCAGAATAAGAATTCAACTTCTGAACTGAATACAACCAACACTTCTAAGTCAGGGTAAACCATTTCAGATATGAAAGAGACTGGTCTCAAAAAGGAATCTATAGAAACCATCCCTACATAATTCACCAGTATATTTTATCAGATTAAAGACCAAATGCCCTACACTAAGGAGAAGAAACTCTCAACTGACTGAGTGAAGACAACCTATACAGTTTAAATCAAGACCACAGATTCCTCACTTTTCTCCCTGTTGTAAAGGTAAGTCGATGACAAGTCTGGGATTACATTAGTATGAAACCAGCAGAATGAGAAACTAGCTCAGATGATCAGCTCTGCTCACAGCAAAGTTGAAGCTCAGCAAATATGATGTCAATCACTGCCTTGCCTTTTCTCCTCATGAATTCTCCAATGGTATCTCCAGGAGAGAAAGATCCAATGTAAAGTGAGTTGTAAGAAATCCTGAGGTACCTGAAGGTGATACACAATGCTCTGAGGGAATAATGTGCCACGTGGCTATAATCCAAAGAGTCAGTATAAAGAACAGATACTTATGTCCTGTCCAGCGGAACGGTAAGGTCGACTTCCCCTTGCATCCCTCTCTTTTGTGAAACAGAAAGCAATCAAATTCACCTATGATGTACTACTCAAAGCATAAAATAATTAATGGAAAACCACTTTCAGGAAAGGAGGGAAGGAGAAGAAGGAAAAGAGACAGGGGGACATGTCAAAAGGAATTGAGCAGTAAGTATTCTCCTCAGCAACGTCCCAGAACCATAATAAGTTCTGCTTTTCCCCAGAAAGAAGAGACGCAAAGTATTATACAATTCAAAACCTATGAAGATGTTTCAAGTCAGTTCTGTTGTCATTTTTTTTTCCTTAATCCCAAAGGGCAAGAGATCACACACTGATCCTGGAGAGCTGGGAACTATCTCAAAGGCATGTTCTTCTAGTTAGAGTTTAATATTCCAGCAAAACTGTGAGGCACTTTCTGCTACTAAAGGAAGCTAACTGCCAGAGTAGAACACGTAGATTTACCTAGTGATGCGTATGACCCTGGGGGCAAGGCTGCAGCAGAACTGAAGGGGGTGGATGATCCAGAAGACGTCACTTTTGACTTGGCACTAGCTGCTGCATTCACATCGACGTCACTGCGGGATCGCTGCAGAGATCCTGGTGTTGACACAGATTTTGTACTTACTGTAGATGCTGCAGATGGAGTGGGAGATCCAGAATAAAGAAGATTAATTTTTTGAGCTGTGTGCTTCAAAGAGCCTGACAAGCAGTTTAAAGTACTATTTTTAACATTCCCTGCTGGCACTGAAATACCTCCACTAAGAATGCTTTATCAGGGCAGTGAGGGCTTCCCCACACTGCATGCAAAGATATTTCATCAATGCTGACCTGATGCTACCTCTAAGAACTTTATATCAGACACAAGCCTCAATGGTAAGATCAAAAAGGCTGTCAGGCCAGTAAAAAGAAATTTCTAATAGAATCTAGATGGGAAAGTTCAACCACAATACCCATCACTGGCTTGTGAGTTGCTGGCCGAAACAGACCTGCAGGTCCTTCAGTCCAGGTTCTAATAACTTCCTTCACAACACCTCATCTTCTCATGAGGACCGTTGTTTCCATCACTTGTTGATGCTCACCCTCTTAAGCATGAAGCTTGACTACTCAGCTGCAAGCAAACATGCATTTGTGTGCACAGTCAAGTAGGATACACAACAATACCTCCTGGAATCAAAGGTCTCAGTAGGGTGCAGTGTATAGACAAACCAGCCAGAACCTGACCTTGGTCAGGTGTAGAAGGCAGCTTATCTTTTACCAACAAAGTTTTGACTATTATATTTTGTATTAAAATCTACTATTTAGATTATTGTATGCATTTACTTAGGACAGAAAAGCTGTACCTAAATATTCCATCTGACAATAAAAACAGATTAGCAACGAGATGGAATTTAACACTGTAGGACTTGTGTGCAGACACCTTCAGTAAGCGCTGAAACCACATGCATAAACGACAGAAAATTGTAAAACTGGAGGCACCATTAGACTATGTAGCTGTAAATCTTAGCATCAGCAGCAGTTTATTCGAGTTATTACACAGCTAAACATACCTTGGCTACAATTTTCAAGGCTTTTTAGGCTTCCCTTCAGGTGTAAGCAATTATAGATTAACTAACATTCTTTAAAAGCATCATTTTATCAGCAGCTGATGCACAAAATATGCTGTAAAACCCAAAACTATTTAAAATTTTTACATACTAGGCTGCCATTTTAGAAAGCAGTAAACAGTGATCAAAGCTTTTCTTTGCATATCCCAATCTCTGATATTCTCATTTTAATCTATCACACTTCATCAGCAACACCCGAGCACGTTTTCCAGCTCCTGTTCTCACCTCTAGATGTAGTACTTCCAGTAGGACTTCTTTTGGCAGACAATGGACGGCTGGAAGTAAATATAAATATTTATTAAAACAAAAGTAGTATTTCTTAGTCATCAGAAGCAATGCTCTCTGTTCCCTCAGTACACAGCTAAGTTAATAAGAAGTTATTTATACACAGGAAGAGACTAACAAAGCTTATTGAAGAATAAAATACAGTACCACCATGATATTTGTTATAAAAGCACTAAGAAATAAATTCATATTCACATTATTTACATAAGAAGAGATTTTTAAGAACACTTTTTGTAGCTTTAAAAAAGTTTAAATAAGTTTTTGATATCATATTACACATAAATCACAGACACTTGGAGTCTAAGTTAACTGTATCTTTAAGACTAGCTAAAATACATTCAACACAAAGTCAAATATTGACTTTGCAGTTACAACTCAGATTTAGTTTAGTCATTTTTTGTCTTTTGTATGGACAGAGGCAGACTTACACCTCTAGGATTAACGCAAAATGCAGAACCTAAATCCAGGCACTATTTTAAGCACACCTGAAAGGAATGACTAACAGTATCTGCTGAGCACAAATAGCTTCCTAGAAAATTATTTATGGAGTCAAGATAATGATTATATTTTTTAAGCCAGTAAGCAGTTTTGCTGGCTTTTTATTTTCATACAACGTTAGTTAAAAAAGTTATAAAATATAATTTGGAGTAACCAAGCATAGAGTTCAAATGATGACCAGATGAGACAGAGCTATGAGATGGCTCCCTCCAATTCAGTGGAGCTCTCTGTCTGCAGCTGTTTAACTCAAGAGGCAGTTGAGTGACACAAAGACCTACTTGAGACTCTCCTGGGAGCTGGAGGAGGAGCGATCCGACTGTGGCAAGGACACGATGCTGTCAGAGTTCTTCAAATGTGACTGCAGGGCCTTCTGGTAGGAAGACTCCAAGGTGTGGTACAAATGCTCTGCCTCTCGGCTGAAGTGACTGTGGAAACCCCAGTAACACCTGGAAACAAGGCACAATACTGTGAGCAAGCCCTTGTCATGTCTTAGGGGGCAGTGGAGCATTAAGCCCACTAATTTCAGGCATTTCAACCATCTACTGCCCCATGACATATTTAAGACATTTCACTTTTTTCAACTCATTGTGTCGCTCAAGCAGCCACACAGAAGACAAACCAAATGAAAGAACCACTTGGTGCATTTGTTGTAAAAGCACAAGTAGACAACAAAGCTTTATTATGGAAGGAACCCTCATCCCTCCAGCTGTCTACTGTACATAGGAGATTGCAGACCCACTGGACTGGTATTAGTTTGGGACTGGGTGTGCAAGAGCTACTTCAAGAACATGCCAAAGGCAGAACACACATGCATGGGCCTGATTCAGGAAAGCACCAGCAGGTGTCTTATTCCTTAATTTTAACAGTCCTCCTAGAATGCTGCAGAGGCAAATCTCTGTACTGAGTTGAGGTTATTGACTGTGGTTTTGGGAAGAAATAATAAGGAAGAGAAAAGAAGTGCTCCCATGGACTTCAAATTAGTGCCATGCTAAAAATAAAGGAGCATTTTAAGATGAGGGAAGAATTCCTCTATAGTTCAAATCTCCTGCCTGATAGCTAAACACCATTCACTCTCGGCACAAAGGAGATGAAGACTCTCAGTACTCTTCAGGGGGCAACTAATGGGCAGTTTATGAGTACAATCATTAGCTCAAATGAATCAAGAATTGTTTGTGTGTGACAGCCAGTCCTCAGAGAAGCCACATGCATTCTCACATCACTAGAAGAAAACAAATTTCTGTCTTACAGTCAGCCACACTGCTATTTAATAAACATGGGAAGAGAGAATTAAGCATGCTCTCTGAAGTCTCATGCCATTCTCCTCGCTGTCTATTCAGATTAACTGGTCACCTGCTGTGAAGTCTCAGTGACTACTGTAATTTTCAGTGATGGACACACTGCCTTTTCAAAAGGATTTAAGCAGTCCTAGTGTGAAACACCTCTGCTTATAACACAGCATTTAGACTGATGAAACTTTTTGTTCACTGATTTCAAGCACAAGGACTTTTTATTTCAAGAGTAGCAAATAACAATAGAATAGACTATTTCAATTGGATGGGACCTACATGGAACATCTAGTTCAGTTGCCTGACCAATTCAGAGCTGACCAAAAGTTAAAGCCTGCTGTTAAGGGCACTGTGCAAATGCCCTTTAAACACTGACAGGCTCAGGGCATTGACCACCTCTCTAGGAAGCCTGTTTCAACGTTTGACCACCCTCTTGGTAGAGAAGTGTTTCATAATGTCCAGGCAGAACCTCCCCTGGGAGAGTTTTAAAGCATTTCCACACATCCCATCATACTGTGCTTGATGTACCCCAGGCTGGGGTTTGCTCTCCCGGCTGACTTCTAATCAGCTGCTGTCTGCCAGCACCCCCAGATCCCTTTCTGCAGGACTGCTCATCCAATTTACACTTCTGCCCAGTACTACTGTCTTGTATACAGGCCAAGAAAGAAAAAATATATTAGTAATAGTATATCTATGTATAATATGCTTGTGCACTAAACAGAAATCTCAGTTCGTTGCAAGCAACTCAAACTTCAAATACAAAGATGAGGTTACTAATTCTCAACTGCAGACTGTTAAACAAGGTAGGCAAGCATTTGACCTGCTCAGACAGAAAAAAAATATTACAAGAACAAAATGAAACAATCACCATTACAAGACACAACAGACGTAACTCAGCCCTGTGTGATCGCCTGCTATGGACATCTCCTGCTGAAACACCACACTCCCAAGCCGAGGGAAAAGTTACCACCAGCTGAAGTCAGGAGAATGTAACTTGCTTGGACTTGTGTCTCAACCATGCAATACCACTGACTCACCACACAACAGGGGCAAAGAAAGGAGGGAAAAAGAGACACTTTCCACTTACTTTCTTGCCTCTATCCTGGCTTCAGAGTCTGCATCATGAATTCCCTTCTTTATTGTTTCAGCTAACACTGATATGTGTCTGAAACAAGACAGAGAACATTATCCAGCAGTTCAGAAAGATGAGCAACACTCATAAACAAATGATTCATTTGATTTTGCCTTGGTCTCCAAAAACAAGCAGTTTGTCACATCCTCCCATTTTGATGTAAGATCCTTTGTAACCTTTATTTATTTACTCTAACAAGACATTTTTATTTCACCCACACTGCTGTCTAGGAAATGGCAAGCAGCATTCTTCATAGATCTTCACTTAGCTATTCAAACTGCCTGGGTTCAAAAACTCTCTCTTAAGCCTTAAATAGTCTTGCACAACCTAGGGCTAGGAAAACTGTGTCCCAGTCTCTTCTCCCACAAGTACTTTAACTGCTCATTAGTTTGAAGTAAGGTAGAAGTCTCAGAAGCTCCAGATAAGACGTGTAGTAGCCTTCACCTCATCATCTCACTTCAGGGTGCAAAAGGAAAAGAAAGTTTGTTAAATAAAAACTACTGCATTCAGGGATTTGCTCAGCCAGGTTTTCCAAGGCTGGCAGAGAAGACACACTCACCAAACTCTGACTGACAGAATTACAGGGACAAATGGTGTGTGTACACATAAGTACGTGCTTTTTTTTGTGGTAAAAAAAAATCTCTACTAGAGCTACCTGATATGATCTCAATCTCCTAGATTATCCTTTCTCCAGAATTAACCTCCTCAGATATAGGTAGGAGAGAACTAACTCACTTGTATTCAGAACTTACCTTTCTAGGGAGTGTGTTTGCCACTCCTGCAACAGCAAGTCTAAAAATTCGTAACAGCGCCTGAGAGAAAAGAGAGAAGAAATGTCACGTTAAATTAACAGGGGTACGCTGGCTTTGCCATCTCTGACTCTGAAGAACAGCCACCTTTTGTTAAGAAGCTTTTTGGGACATCAAAATTCAGCAAAGACCCCAATAAAACCATCAACATCTCTAAAAACACCACTAATAAACAGTCTGAAGGATTAACTGCAGGCAGCGCACTATAGAGAAGTCTGTAGAGAGGGCTTGACATAAAACAATCCAGGAAGCCCCCTTTTCATTAAACAGGACAGGAGATTCATGCTGATACTTTGAAGCTGTTAGTTCAGGTTTCACATAGAAATTTCACCATTAGCTTCATGTGGGGACACTTCCCAACTTTAATCTCCCTTCCTCACTTCAAGAAACTAAGGCACAAGTGTGCTGAAATGACTTCAGGGTTTGTCAACAGATGCAGTAACAACAAAGCCCTTCCCTTTGTCTAACTAGAACAGAACCAGTTCATCTATGCAGACGAGGCAAGAGATTCCCAGTGAGGCAGTGGACTGAAGTATTTAGATTTTAAGTGCAGACAGGACCATTAGCACAGCCAGTCCAACTTTCCCTCCAGATGATCCTATCACAGAAGACTGCTTCTGCTACTGGCTCAAAGAAAACACCTAACAGCTAAGAGTGGAGACTAGGAACGTGTCCATAAAGAAGCCAAAAGAATATGATGTTACAACAACACGTAAGCACAAAGATCAATTTAAAAAACATTTCTCTTTGTGGAAAAATGCCTTTTCCTCTCTGCAGTGCTGCAGCCCAAATCACAGGAGAGAATGAGATGCATGTTATAATAAGGGAGTGTGTGTTATTTCACGAATAACAACAAATAATTTACATTATCAGGAAGCACATACAAACCTATTAACTGGTAAAACCCAGTAAATTAAAACTAAATTCTCACCTTCTAACTGCAACAGACTTGGAGGTACAATTACTGGTTATGATGGGTATTAACCGAGGGATGTGCGTATGCTGGAAGAAAACAATAGAAACAGGAAAAAAATCTTTACATCTCAGTTCTACAGAATGAAAGACCATCTCCTTCAGCCACCCGAGCCCAGTATTCAGATACTTCTTGCAGTTTGATTCTTAAAAGCAGAACTGCTAAATAAAGCAACACTAACAGATATGGATAGATTTTTATAATTAAAAATATATTTTATCTGCTAAAATATCTTTAACAGTTACTTCATTATCTTCTATAATGACAGCCCCCAGTGAGTCAAGGAGCCGAAGACACTGCAAGAGAATCGAAACTGCCAGTGGTGACAACTTGAGAGACATCAGCCTACCTAGAGATTACCCAATAAATCACTAAGCAGAAGCCACTACTGTGAACTAATTGTTTTAGGAAACCTGAATTGTCTGTGAGGCATTTTAGAGCATAATTAAGAGGATGAGACTGTGCTGCAAGGCAGGTTTAAAACCCTCTCAAAGAAAAAAGTTTGCTCAGCTCTTAGAGGGATCAAAATATCTTGCTCTGCAAAAGGAAACATTTTTCCTACTATTTTGGCAGAGCTTAATGAATAAGGTTGCATGACATCCGAGAGAGACAAGCCCAGCACAATCAGAAAAGTAGATTAGGCATTTAATCTAATTTTCATTGCAGCAGCATTCATATTTCATCAGAAACACCGCATTATTTGGAAATTGTAACATTGTTCTCTTCTGATGTATACTTACTCGAATGATTAATCTAACTGCTACAACACCAGAAGTGGCCATGACTTTGGCACTATTCGGAATTAGATTAAAAATTGTTGGCATGATGGCTTCTGCCCCATGGTCAAACTTGTTTCCCAGAACTGATGACAAATGTCTGAAAAACAGAATGAAGTCATGGTGATAAGTGAGTTGAAGATTAAGCAAGTCAGACTTCGACAGAACATCTGACATAAGCACATCTGACATCTCGGTCTTTGCAACTGTCACCTCTTCTCCAACTCCAAAGGACAGAGTTCCTTTGCTTTCATTTCAAACTTGTGCTCTACATTCATCTGAACCCTGAGAAACAGTAACATCAGCATAAAATAAAGTAACTAGCACAGCTAAAAATTTATTATCAAACAAACTGGATCATGGTGATAGAATGTTTTTTTCTGTTAGTTTATATTATAACTGAAACTCCCTATTTTGCCTTAATATGCACAGAATTTAAAAAAAAAATGTTAGAAACACTGCAGCACCCTGTTTCTTGAAGTACTTCAAAGGATAGACCATCAAAAATAAAAACTAGCTCAGTCTGAACCAGAACAAAACATATACATTTTCAGCTTTATTGTTTAATCCTTCCCTATCATGCATGAAGGTACAGCCTGTGATCATTAATTCTGCATATCTGTAATCAGCATTGTTTAATACTGTGGAACACAGTTTGGCAGAATTACAATTAGTGGCCTACATGGATGTGGTAAAACAACTGTAGCAAAATAATTTTCTACCTCTAACAATGTAGAACTAGCAGCACAAGTTGCATCCTAATTGTGTTTGCACCAGTGTCTGTTCCTTTTTTTCTACATCACATTTCAAGCACACACAGAAAGTAAACTTACCCCAACGTGATACAAGCCTCTCGTACTACTTGAGAGCGCAGATCTTTAGCAGATAATTTAAATGCTCCATCCAAAAGCCTTAAGTGTTGGAAGAAGTTATCATATTCTGCAGCTCCAGCCAAAAGTAAGGAGCGGATCTTTTTCAACTGTTAAAAGCATACAAGAAATCAGTGACTGTTAATGAGCGATAAATATAAGGACAGTTATGTTCTGGGTCAATATCTGGTTTCCAGGGTCTTTGTATATTATTCCTGAACATGCATTGAGGAACTTGATTCTTAATGTCCAACCAATTTTATTATTCTGTATCTCATAGGTTAACATACTAAGTAAAATAATATAAACACACTAATTATAGAAATCCAGAAATGTTTGAGCTACTCAAACTGCATTATTAATAACCTAAACATTAGTTTCTAAGCCAAAAGATATCTTAAACATTCCTCTCTGTTTCCCTATTTACAACAGCTTCTAAAACTTAGGTCATCTCATAGCTGACTCATATATTAAAAAGATATCTAGACCTTAAGGTGCATGTTCACGCTCAGGTCTGAGTAATACTGACTTATATCTATAATGTGCCCATTGACTTCATTAAAGCAATTATCTGGCTCTAATAGAAGTGAAGCCCTGACCCCAGAAAATGGCAAATTTTCTATTAATATTACAGGGATCACCATCTCATCCTACAGACATTCCTCTGGACACCTTCACAAGCCCTCCTGTACACCAATGCACCTGCACATTGCCTCAATTCAAGCTCACTCTCACTCAGTGCAGAAATAAAACTAAACAAAAGTAAGCTGAATCAGCACAGTCTGCCACTCAGATCTGCAATACAGGACTGACAGAAGTCACTGCACCACTGATGAAAGTCTATTGCGTAGACAAGACCATGCATCCATTCACATTATGAAAACACAGCTCACCTCAGTAAATAAAACTCAGTCTTGACATGCAAATAACATCCAATTTTCCACTTCCACATTTCCCACAGTCATATTTATTTATTCAAAACCTAAGTGTGTGAATTCTTTCTGAATTATTTCACACCTCTATTCACAGAAGTAGAAATAAGCTCTCTGTAAGCAAAGTAATTTTCTGCCTTATGAGGTAAGTTTTAAGATTCTCAATATGACTTTCGACATTTTGATTGTAGCATCTGCTAGCAAACTCCTAACTTTACATCAGGATTTGCTACATGACTTCCAGTTCAACCTGATGCTGCCTCAACAGATTCTTGTATAATAGCATTCTCCCTCACAGATGTGGTTTAAATTCAGTCTCATAAGGAAATGTTTCCGCCCAGTCTGGGGGAATATAACAGGTGTTCACCACTAAAACTACATTATAGCTTTACTCTGGGGTTTTCCCAGTACCTTATTCACGGGATTAAGCTCAGTGTAGAAAAATATTCTGCTAAAAGAGATCATATCTAAGTTCACTACTTACCGCAGAAACTCTCTGTTCCCAGTCGTGCTTATCATCAGATAGTATCTCTCGGATTTTGTTTATGGATTCCTCAAGATCCCGGCTGGAATAAATCTACAAATCGAAATACAAAGCAGCACCATAATGCAATATTTTCTCCAGAAAATCAGATCTCTTCCCAACGACATTCTTACATCCTTTGCTCCTCAGTGTTTAAACATGATGTAAACTGGCTTTGCATAATGCACAGAGTTTACACTCACTGCCTGCAATCAAAAGCTACAAAATTATCACATCAAATTATCATTATCAAATTAAAGGTTCATCTTTTATTATTTTACTGCAGTTACACAATTTTAAGCAGCATTCCTGCAGCTACTAGTGACTATATTTTCAAGACCTACAAAAAATCACAAGTGGACACGTGCAGTTCAGCTGTCCCAAGCACAAAGCTCTGGTGAAGGAGAGGGGATAGGTGATACATCTCAGCTATCCAGCTAAACCAGCAAACATGCACTGCCCAGTTGTCACACTCACACAGCACCAATCCCCGAGACAAAAGTCACCTTTTGCTTTCAGTTCCCAGAAGGTACAGATTAGATGGAGAGAGGCTCCTGATGATTTAAGTGTTCATTTGACCAGACTGCACTGTGCAGAGTGCACATCCAGTTCCAGCCCCACATCCAGTCCTGTGATACCTCTATCACATCACTTCCATCCCCATTCCCTCCACTTCTGAGGATTTCACAAAAACTACCACCAGATACCACCACTTAAGACTTACCTCCCTTCAACTTCTAACTTGCTTCCCCTCTAAAGAAGATTTGTTAACATCACAATGAATCATAAATTGCTGATGATCAGCATGAGATCCTATATCCATCTTCTGCTTTTTAGTACAGTGTGGCTTAACATGTAATTCTACTTACCTGAACCGTTGGGACATCTTCAAATGCCTTAATGAAGTCTTCTTCATCCACAGCACCTGCTCCCTCTTTGGCTGCTGACACACAAATGAAAAAGCTTTTTCAATCTTCTTATCAACAAGAGAATCAATTAAGAAACCACCAGCTACCAAGGCACTTAATCAGGAGAAAGTTCACTATCCATGTAGCCTCAGAGTGCTGCAGATGTAATGAAAGCAGAGACAGGGAAATTCAATGCCAGGCACCGGCTAGACATTCATGGCATCCTTCAACTCATAGGCACAGAGGGCACATTAGGGGAAGTCATTACAGTAATCACTCAAGAGTTAGGGGACACAGTCTGAAAGATGAAAGGGAATACTTAGTTTAATTATATGGGAGATTTTATTTTAAAGGATTTAATCCCATCTATAATGGATGAAGGTGGAGATCTGACAGGTGCACAAACAGACGAATGATAAGGAAGATAAATAGTCTCTGGAATACTAATCAGATTAGAGACTGTCTGATGTAGGGAACTTTCTCCATTTCTCTAGGCCACATGTAGAATTATAGTCACAGTTTTCTTTCTGTGCCTTCATTACCAGCAATGCCCAAAGGTCTTCTTAGAAGAACACCTACGTGTTAGTCTTAGCTTGCAAGGGCTAAAGTTTAGCATGTAGCTGTAAGCAGCCTGTCTCAGATTAGTTAGAGTTGCAGCTATAAAGGTTTAAAGAACACTGCAACACTGACATGATTTACTCACAGCCCTCAGTGCACAGCCACACACATCCAACCTTTCACAAATGCAAAATACATTATAGGGATTCATCCAACCCGACTTCGGCTGTGGCACAACAGAGAACATACATGTCATGATTTCACAGGGAAAAATTTTTTACTGTATTCTGAGGGCCGGTCTGGAAGCCCTTGCAATAAGCTCAGTATGAACACTATAAATACTTCACATCAATGTCAATTCATACATGCTATTTGCTTACTAGAAGACTTGGAGCCCAGAGGTGCAGACCCAAGTCTGCGGGTAGTCCCCATCCCAACTCTGCGCGAGTTTGCAGGAGCCTTGGAAGATGTAGAGGAGCTGGCTGAGGAAGGTCTGTTCCCATCCACGGAGTCTTCATCATCAAAAATTTTATCTGCCAAAGAAAACCACGCTCAGCTGTATAGGCAGTGAAGCAAAGAACATGCCCATGCTATGGCAAACACGCTGCATGCTCCAGTCTGCTCTGCAAGCCCCCATCTCAGCAGTGTCCTCATCCTAGAAATCCAGTTATTCGGCAAAGATCACCCAGCCACTGAACTCAATCCTTTGCTATTACAGCCACTATGTTATAAATCCTTTCAATGAATGCATTCAGATAAAAAAACCAACCTCCAAATCTACAGCAGAAAGATGCAAGCCACAGATAACACCTGGGGTGTTTACAGTCTGCATCTCTCACGTTGATGCCTCCAACAGCTATTTTGCCATGGACTGTAGCAAAACCAAGACCATGAGCAAATCCAAGTGTGGAGGAGACCAGGCAGCAGAGGCTGCCCTGTGACACCTGCCAACTGCCTGCACCAGACTGAGGATAAACAGGGTAACCCAGGAAAGTTCACATGGCACTATCCATACTGTTAATAGACACAGACCATTAATCACAGACCCATCCAGAGTTATAAATCCCCTTTAACCCTAAATTATCACTAGATATTCTTTACAAGGAAACAGAAGAAGTTAACTCAAATTCATAAAAACATAAATATAAGGTGCATTAAAACTTATAGAACTTTCTGTGTACACACAGCTTCAGCCTCTACCACCAAACACGAACATAAATGAACTTAAAATGAACTACAGTCACTTTGATTCTCACTGAAGGTCACTTCAATTCCAAAGGAGTGCTTATATTGCAGTTTTACACAGATTATGTAATTCACTTGAAAAGCCAGGCTTGGGTTGAAAGGTGACAAAGCATTTGGGCAGCTGATGTAGATGGAACATATAATTATTGAGGCCAGAAAGCCAGCTCAGTCCCCATCACTTAGCTTCTCCACACTAACACTTCATTCAAGATTTGAGACCTGTTTCATGTCTATCCCTCCCCAACAACCCAAGGTACACACCCACTCTCACACGTTTAGGAACATTTCCCTCACAATTTTCACTTGGCAAAATGTCAAGCAGGTGCTTTAATCCATCCCTGCTCAGGAAAGCACCTGGGAACATCTATTAACACATACAGGCTCCTAGTTAGAGACTAATGAGAGCAATTCAATACAGGCTGAGCTTTCTGAAAGTAAAAACTTAACTTAATAACAGTATAGGCATATTAAAGGGGAGGTAAAAAAAAAGAAAGAAAAGCCTGTATTGTTCTCAGCCCAACCACCTTCAGTCTTCCCTGCCCTAAGTGGCATTGGTTTATTCTCATCTGGACACAGGAGCACCATCATAGAGCATCTAAAAACCTAAACACCCTATTTTCAGTATGTCCTCTGCACATGATGCCATAATCCAACCAAAGCACAACACAGAAATGGCAGGTATAAAGAACCATTCAAAAAGTTAAAAGAGGTGGCCAAGGACATCTCTCCCCTTAATTTTGATATTCAAGATGTCTTGAAATACGGGAAAGGGCTTAAAAAAAAAAAAAAGGCAACATCTAAAGCACAGGGGTAACATAATCACAGGTACTTGTACTGTTGTTCAGGCAAAAGTGAACAAGGCAAAAATGAACACATGAAGTTAAAGAAATTTCAGGTCACACAGCCAAGGAGAAGAATATAAGCCATAATTAGGACGTAGGCTCTCTCTTTACACAGTGCCTGAAGGCAGCCATGGAGACCGTGCTACCTCCCTATTGACACCAGTCATGTGCTGACATATGTAATTCAAAAATAATTTGAAAAGAGCTCAGGGAACAATCATGAGAATGATTAAAGGATTAGAAAATATGTTTTTAATTCAATTAAATGAAAATTCACTGCAGGAGTTTGTTTAGCCTAGCCAGATTCTTAATAAGTTGTTTGATTATATTCTGTGTTAACACAACAACTCAAAATTTATTAACACAGTTTTCCAGTGTGATTTATTAATATTGTTTCTCATCTAATAGAAAAATATACAAGGCTACTGCCTGATGGTTAAAAACAAATTAAATTCTCAACTGCCTTTTTCCCCTCTCTTCCCTTTCCCCCCCTCCTCAATTTTTTGCAATGAGGACTAACCCTCTACGAGGTTAGGAGGTGTGTCACCCAGTGAATTCTACCACTGGGTAGGCAGTTCTTAAAAAGCAGAGTTGAATTTAATTTCTCAAAAGACACAGTTTAGTTCAAATAGGAATATTTCAAAAACGTTATTTGGTGAGAGTTGCACCAAGGTCAGAGCAGATCAAAATAGACTTTAAAACGTGTAATCTCTGAAGCCTGTAGGAAGGGGTTTAAGTGATTCAGAGAGACTCACACAAACGTTCAATTCAAAAACTTCTAAGCAAAACTTGTCCCAGTTGCATTTATTTCAAAAGCTCCTCTATAGATACTAAGCAAATTATTATTTGCCACATGTGTATTACTAGCCAAGAGAAAGTCAGTCATATTCACAACAAAAGATACTCTACTAATTCATAATCACTTTCATGGGGTAATAAAATTCTCCACAGCTGCATTTCAGGCTATCTAGATATAGCCTTATGAGTTAACTCACTTCCTCTTCTATCTGCATTTTTAAAGCCTCATCCCTCTGAAAGGAGAAGAGGGTGTGGTTTACTATTTCATATAGTAAATACAAAATAAAAACATCCAGATATTAAAAGCACCACACTCCCATAGCACTTTAGCAATTAAATAAACTACCATTTTCACCTAAAACAGGCTTTTCTGAGCATTAGCAAAAATACAACACTCCAAAAATCCAGCCAGCCCGCCCACAGTTCTGGGGATGTCTGGATTACAATCACACCCTCCTGTTCATTAACTCTACAAACTAAGCATTACATATTTATCAAACCAGACTATCCCTTCAGTAACCCAACAGCATTTTCTCATCTGAGCAGTGCAGAATGACAGCACCACGTTCAGAACTGCACAGTAAGTCTGCCAGTAGCACGTGTGCAGGACAGAAAGAGAAACAAAGAACAGAAAGAAACCTGAACATAGGAGTACAGAGAGGAACAGAAAAATAAGCTACTGTACACTATCGTTAAAAAGCCTTTTTTTTTTTTGCCCATGCATTGATTCCTGCTCATAATAATCACTTCAGCTAGGATCACATTTTTCAGCGTATCTGCAAATGGTAAATTCAGCATGGGTGTAACTCTCAGGGCACCAGCTGAGGTGCACTGAAGCAGAATCAGTGCCTAATTCTAACATTAAATAACCACTCCCATCCCAAGACACCCCCAGTGCTCATTTAAAAGGACCTTATAGTACTCTCTGTCAGAGACAAGCCCTTATAAAAGAGGCCTTTGTCTGCTCGCCACTGCTGCCTCAGAGAAACAGAGAAGACAATCTGCTTTACATTTCTCAATTCCTTTACATTACTTAAGAAAAAAAAATGCTTACAAGTACATATCCTTCTGCAAATAAGCTTCCTCAACATTCCTTCATATTTTCCATAGCGTGCCCAGATGTAAGAGTGCTTCACAGAGCGCCGTGGCTTTCAGTCCAGAACATAATCAATCATTGCCCCTCGTATTCATTAAGCATGCTGTCTTCCCACGTGGATTTAAACAGCCATGGCCTCTGTCCTCTCTCTACAACTGCAGCTCTGCAGGATTCTCATCAACACCCATTTCAGCAAAGGAAACTTCAGTTCGCTTCTAGGAAGGAAATTTCCTTCTAGCGAGGGGAACCTGGGACAAACAATCCAGGATGAAGATGAGCTGAGTCTGCCTGGCTCGGCTGGCTTGCACTAGGATCCAGCCTGACTTTATCCCCTGGGAAGCGCTAACAGGAGCATCTCAACAGCTGTCATCATTTGTCCATGACGAATAAATCTAGTCATTATTCATTTTAAAATGTAACCCCTTCAGGTCTGGGCAAGGTGTAAAATAGTGAGAGGAGGCTGCCCTAGCTCTTCAGGAACCACGGTAAACAAGGGCCAGCATTTCCCCTGCCTGAACCACCAGCCTCGGACCTTTTAAAGGGAAGTAACTGAATCTCAAATTTTCTTTCCAATGAAATGAGATGTTTTCCAGCTTTTAAAAACTTTAGGATATCAGATTCAAATATTTTAGTTATTTGCCTGTAAGCTTTAAGCAAGACAACAACTCTGTAATGATGGCAGACTGGGAAAAGTGTCTGTTTCTAATGAAGATGCCCCACTATGGTCTTCAGATTTGACTTTCTAAGGGACTAAACTTGTCCTGGGCCCACTGTGCTCACTTATCATATGCCCCATCTCCAAGCATCCGTGCAGCTGAAACAGGCAAGATGGATACAGCTTGCAAGTCTCACCTGCATCTCTCTTAGAAGAATCTCCTTTTGGGTGCAGATGAAGGTGGATGGCACCAGGGAAACCTGCCTTACCATTCTCCCCATGGCATCCTGCACCAGGAGCAGACATGCAACTGCTAAAGCTGACCCACATTTCAGCACATCCAAATCCCATACTCAACCTGTACTAGGTGGGCCAAGCCCACCCTCCTGAAGATCTGAGAACTTTCTAAAAGCCAAGAATACACCCTGGCAAACCTACCAATGCCAAAGAAAACAGTGTATGCTCCTCTTTACTACTTTCTCCCAGGCATAACCCCATGTGCATTGGTCCACATTTTTGAGGCAAGACACCCCTCGGACACCTCAGCTCATGCCCTGCCCCCAGGGCAGCGTCTGGCACTCCAGCTCTGTCTCCTGTAGGACATGAGGCACAGTTCACTCCTCTCTGTGGGTGTCCCACCAGCCTCCAAGGGAGACAACTCAGCCAAGGTTACACGCCTCTTCCCACTTGCACACACAAAACCCGTGCACAGCTTAGCTGCAAACCTGTCCAATCCCAGCACAAGTATTGTAGAGGTTTCTCCAGGAAAATGAGTTTATGAATCTGCTAAAGATAAAGGAACATGTGTATGCTCATCAGCAGGATTAAGTGTTTAAAAACAAAGGAGTGGCAGCTACAAGCAGAAGCATGGGCACAGCATGTCAGTAGGGTTTCCCG